CAACTACATCCTCGATTTGTGCCATGACTGCAGGCTGGGGTTCTTGGAAGGATGGGCTACGTTCAGATGCAGATACCTCTGCAGATCCCAAGCGCAGTTGAAGCGATGTTCTCGAGTGCCGCGTCTCATCCCTGAAGGGGTCTTCCCAGGTGTTCGTCAATCGCGTAATCAAAGCCACCTTCGAGATTGAGAGGTCGTATTGATCTTGCTCTTCCTGTGAATAGCCGGGGGAATCCTCTGTAGTCGAACTGAGAAGCCTAAATGAAGCGTTCGGTATCCGGACCATAAAGTCCTTGATCTGGCCTTTCGTTTCTCGTTCCTTCTGCCGATCAAAGATCTTGGTCATGGCATCAACTTGAAAGGTATCCAATAAGGTTTCTGGTTCGTTTGGCTGCAGAGCATCAAGAAGAGATGCAGCATAACGCAAGGCCGATGGATTAACGAAAGCTGACATGCCAGATGGAAATTCGACAATTACACTGAGATAAGGGTGATCCTCACCCAGACCGTTGGGGTCGATGTCATCCAATCCTATGCTCATCGTGTCAAATCCGTCGTCGTCATCGCCTTCCTCGATGCTCTGGAAAGGCAATTCCTGCGTGCTTGGTCGTAGGCCATGCAACGGAAATTGAGGCGAAACATATTGGCTTGAGAAGGCGACTGAAGAGTGTGCAACATCGTCTTTCGCGACATAGTCCTTGGCTGAGCGATGTGAGCCAAACGAGCCTCTAGCTCTTAGGGATTGTCGGTTGTCTGCTGATGAAGGCCTAACCGCCAGAAAATCATCCTGTTTAGATCTGGACCGAGCTCTGTATTGACTATGTGCAAGCACAACGCTTCCATTGCTAGATTCGGCGAGAGAGAGGAATGAGGACTTATGAGTCAACCCTCGGGAATGCCGTGAGGTTATGGTCCTTCGCGAAACATCATCCCTCTCACCCTCGAGGGACACAGCTGGATGAGGAGGGGGAGGTGCACATTGAGCTGGAGGGTCAATCACCTCTGGGACAAATTCGTCCAGATATTCCGGCAAGAGGAGAAATTCAGCTCGATGTGTGCGCTGGTCCTCTCTCTGAACCAACTCCTGCTGGATCCTTCTTTCTTCGCTGAATTTGAATTTGCGTCCAATGACAGCAAGGCGAACGGTCGTTCGGAAGTGGGCATCTGTTTCCACAGGATGGTGGTATCTAGATTTTTGTCTTCCCGCTAACTCTGCATTGAGACATGAGATTTGAATGTTTGGCACGATAATATCTGCACGCTTAGAATAATGAGATCTGGCCCAGTCGTTGAAGCATACATCGATAGCATCAGTCGACACCAAGAAAGCAGCTTCGTCCACATGCAACCAAACTTGAATAGACTCCACGGCAGCTCGAGCAAATGTTATATCATAGAAGACAAGTGATGAGTATGGCACAAGGGCGTTCTCCACATCATCGAAGCAAAAGGCAAGGGACTTGCCACCCTTTGCTACTGCAACCAGGAATTCAGATGTACACTCTCCGGTAATCCCGCCGACATTGACATCCCAGTTGCAGACGTATGCTGGTTCCGACGGCGGCAGTCCAAAGAGCTTGTGTCCGAATAGTCGAACGCCATCGATGAAGAGTTGGGTATTGGACGATGACATGCCAGGGGAGTCCAGAGTGCCTTCGCTACATCCTAGCGCAAGACTGATAGGACTAACCTCGACCTCGACTTCCATGAAATAATTGGTGAAGCGCAAATCGACAGAGATGCTAGCCAGCTCGCCCTCTATGTAGCGGTCAGCAGAATAGAGGTTCGTTGGTAGCATGACCTTGAGGTCCTCAATTCTGACACCTAGAACGACATCCATGTCGTTGGACTTTTTGGGAGGAGGTTGTGTTACAGCTTCCGCGTCAGGATTCTTTTTCTTCGTCTGAAGCTGATTCTGATATTCGTCTAGCGTTCGGAAGTGAACAAATTCTCCAAAGTAGTTATCTTTCAAGAGTATGACGTATCGGATCAGAAACCCATACAAGTACACATAAGGTGACTGACCGCGGAAATTGAGAATAAGTGTGTCCGTGTTTGCTGACGACGTCGTGGCATTGTAGTTGTAACTTCCATCTACCGCAAGGCCTTCAATATGGCCCAGTTGCTTCGAAGAAAGGAACGCGGCCTGTGTGTTCCATTGAGGAACTTGAAGCGCCATGTCCAACTGGTCAGCACGAACATCAAAGGAGATGGCATTCTTGCTTGGCCGGAAGGATTCGGCCGGGATGCAAGACTCAGCAATCAAGCAAGGGCTCGAAAGTATAAGATAAGTGTTGTCTTCAATGACCGTTGCTTTGTCGATGATGTTGGCTTCGTTGACGTTGAGATAGAGCTGCAATGAGTTCAAGGTAAGATTGAGATGATATTTGAAGGGCACGAAAACAAGATAGTCAGCAGGCGGGCCAGCTGTCCAGTCGTCAACCAGATCTGTAAGTAGAAAGATATGGTCCCTCAGCATGAAAAGCTCCATCTTCGAGCTGATTATGTTAAAGTGCCAGTTCCTGAGCGAATTCCAGGCTAGCGGGTTTGAGAGGTCACAGGATATTATTTGAGCACCAGATCGCCACAAGAGATCATGGTTTACACTGCTCCATAGCTCAGAACTTGGCAAGTCAACATCGAGTTTTGTGGTATAGCCTGTTGGACTAGCCAGCATATCCATGTTGAACTTAACTGAGGAATTCGCGGGGAGCTTCACCTCCAACCATCCTGCAGGCCGAATTTCCGTTGCGTCGGTTTTGCTGTTCTTCTTGGTCCGGTTCCTCTGCTTTCGTTTGGTGGGAGATTTGGCATGTCGCATGGGCGGTTCTTTGCCACGCCAGCGCCAATTTTTGGACTCTTCTCTAATGGGAACTCGCAGCGTGACTGCGTCGTCCATTTCGATGTAGAGTTGGAACGTTGTAGCAACTCTCCAATCCCCTGGTTTTAGCGGTTTGGCAGGCATGGCATCTTTACATAGTGATGGGAAAAAGAAGCGCTGCAAGTCTGCTCTCTGACGATCTGCCCAGGGGCCATAGTTCATTGTGCCTCCTTTAATTGAAAAGTTCATACCCCAAGCAGGGGGCACGTCTCCGTTGATGCTGAATGGGAAGGTCTTTACGCCTCCATAGCGACTCTGATCAGGTACCTTTCCAACAGCATCCCAGAATACTGTTAATACAGCCTCAGGGCTGTCGAGAATCGTCGTCACAGCTGCGTACTCTACGGATGCCCAACGAGCTCTATCATCTCGGTCGCGGTCATCGAGATAGCGGGTCAGTCCTTGCCATTGATTTGCCCCTGGCACTTGCGAAGTAGCGGTAGTCATGGCAGTCCGTGAGTCTGTTGAGAAGGATTCTACAGACCGCCGCCAGTACGGAACTAAATTCCGCAGCGAATTAACGGCTTTTCGGCGATGGTGGCGGAAGAAAGATCGCTTAGATATTGCCTCCTGAGTCTGGGTATTGTCACGGTCTCGGGTCGCCCGAGTGACCTGATCCTCCTTGAAGTCCTCGTTCTCCTTGATTTCGATAATTGGGTGTTGGAATTGAACCTTGAAGGTTTGTCGATATGGATCAGGTGTAGTTGTTTCCGAAGCATCTACTTCCACATCTAACGAATCCGCTTTGGCGATAAGGATGGCTTTCGTGTTTTCATTGCCTATGACCGCAGCCGCTTTCTGGCACCGAATATGCACAGGGAACAGTCGAAGCATGAACGGAAGCTCGGGTTCATCATCCCTGGTCTGTTCATCATCCTCGCCGCTTCCAAAGCCCGTGGTCGTGCGTCGGAACATACTCTTGGCTCGTTCGCTGAACTCCTGCTTCACATCCGTCTCTTTTTCATTGCCAGCCACGGACCCGCCCTCCTTCTTGTGGCTCCGTGATCGTGTAGTAGTCTCGTCCTTCTCTGATATTCCGCTTGAACGAGCTTCCGGGTCGTAGGTCTGGGTAAGACCAGCAAGTATACCATCATAGGCTGGGCTACGATTATACACAAACCATTCCAATCCAGTCAGATCCACCTGGATACGACAAGGAAGCTCCGGGTTCTTGGCATCGCTTGTAGGCACAGCATCGCCGGAGGTGAGCTTCGATCGTCGAGTGCCGATTATATCCGCGTCTCGAACTCGTCGTAGCCAGTATCGCCATGTTATGTAGCCATGCTGGATCATAAACGTCTCGTTCTCGCCATGGTATCGTAAACCTGTAAAGAAGACTCGGCCACCAAGAAGGGATATTTGTATAGCCTTGACATCTATGTAGACTCGATAGTGGTGCCATGTATAAGCTCGGAGGGCGTAGGATACGATCGACGCGAAGAGTCGATTGAAGTATAGGACAAAGAAGATCGCCAGGAAACAGCACAAGGCCATAAAAATAAGGAATTCACTATTGTACGTGAGCAGTAGTTCAACGGGCTCTTCAATGATCGGAAGCATACTAGTTGAACCGGGGATTTCCTTCAGCGGCCCTGGCTACAACAATCGCATTGTTGAGGCCAGGCATGGTGATATTCATGTTGAATATACTCGAAGAAGCTCACGGGGCTCCACTAAAGGATCGGGAGATGAGTCGCATTATACTATTAGGTTTTATTAATTTGTGGTTACAGAGCTGAGGTGTTTGCGCAAAAGTCTGTAAGTGAGTCAGCCATAGCAAGTTTGGCTTGCTAGGGGATGTTGGAGTCGGTCAAGACCTATATGGGCTGTCAGGTCACAATGGAAGAAACCAATTCGCGACGGGACAGGACAACGGCAGCACGGTTGTCGAAGTAAGGTAGGCCTCTGCCCCTGTCACTCAGCGGATGCAGGGTAGTGGAGCCACTGGACATCGCTTGGCTTCAGTGGTCGAGCTGGAGATTCTAGCGTCCGGCTCCCCAAAGTGTTTAGCGTCCACTTCATCCCGTCCCGCAATTGCATCAGTGGACAGACAACCTAAGGTAAGCTTCTTATAAGTACCACGGCTCAGTATGAGGCTGGCTGCATGTCACCACATTCAGTTTATGGCACCAACCTGGAGGGGGAGAGGGCGATCATTTTCCTTCGTTTTGAAACTTCTCTACAGTTTGACTAACTACTAATGCAACAAACTCCTCAGTCACTAGAGCAAATAGACTATTTCTGCTAATTACGAAGCTTGGTCGGCTAGTCTCAATATGGATCTTCAATATCGGGCAGGCATGCGGGCGCATGAACAATAAGCCGCCCCCCGGAGCTATCATTCCTCAGACACTGTTACGTACCACACTCAAGGCAGCAAATACATCATCTGCCCCAACATCCAAGCTTCAACTGTGACTACATGGCCAAGCAACACACGGCTCCTACGAAAGCTTGAAAGCGTGGTCATCGACGGGATCCAAGTATCCTCGACACATTTGCATACTCCGTCTCTTGTTACGTATTGTCAGCGACATCTATAGTTCACCAAAATACTTTTGGAAAACTGGCCGTCATGTGTTAGGACAATTCAGCCATTGCCCTTTCTCATATCAGACCCGCCGAACTACAAAGTTCAAGTAGAAATGGAAGAATACGTCGGGATCACGGCGGATGGCGGTACTGGCCAGAAGCTCACCTATGCCACAACCGTGGTCGCGGGCGTCGCTTCTGTGGTTGCGACAATACTCTCTGTTATGTATGGACTCGTCGCGTCACGCATGATAATGCACATAGCTAACCTCAGCCTCCAGCTCGATAATGTTGCAGGCTAAAAACTACCGTAAACCCCTACTACAAAGATACGTCGTTAGAATCCTTCTCATGGTTCCTATATACTCGATAGCATCATGGACAAGCATGGTCTCGTTGAAAGCCGCTGCGTTTCTTGATCCGGTCCGCGATATCTACGAAGCCTTCACGATATATACTTTCTTCCAGCTCCTCATCAATTACCTTGGTGGTGAGCGGTCTCTCATCATTATGACACATGGTCGAGCTCCAGTACACCACCTCTGGCCCCTCAACCACGTTCTTCCCAAGGTCGACATCTCGGATCCCCACACGTTTTTGTCCATCAAGCGCGGCATTCTCCAGTATGCCTGGCTCAAGCCTATTCTTGCTCTATCTGCTATCATCATGAAAGCGACTGGTACATATCAAGAGGGCTATATTGGTCTGAGCTCGGGATACCTTTGGAGTGGCATCATTTACAACATCAGTGTCACCGTCAGTTTATATGCTCTTGGTCTCTTCTGGGTCTGCATGAATCATGACTTGAAGCCGTTCAGGCCTGTGCCCAAGTTCCTATGTATTAAGCTCATCATCTTTGCTTCTTACTGGCAGGGCTTTTTTCTGTCAATTCTGGTTTTCTTGGGTGCAATCCCTGATAATGTTGAGGGTTACACCTCCGACAACTTGGCAGCGGCTATCCAGGACGCTCTTATTTGCGTGGAAATGCCTATCTTTGCTGTTGCCCATTGGTACGCTTTCTCATGGCACGACTTTGCTGATAACAGCATTCTATCCGCGCGCATGCCCTTGCGCCATGCTTTCAAAGATGCTTTTGGAGTGAGAGATCTTATCGAAGATTCGAAGTTGACTTTCCGAGGAGATACGTACGGCTACAGAATCTTTGATTCTGGTGACAAGGTCATGGCTCATGAAGACTCCAAGTCTCGTCTTGCAAGACTCAAGGAAGGTATGCGATACGAGCGTGGTGGAAAGGGGAAATACTGGCTTCCAAAGCCTGGGGAGGTAAATTCAACAACGCCTCTTCTCCGCGGGAATGGGGAATCAAGCGACAACAGACCCGATCAGATCAACGAAAACATACACGGCACCTTCGAGGAACCCGAGATAGATGCTGATGAGGATCGACTGTACGAGCAAGCACGCCAATTGGAGTATGGCGATTGGAATGTAAGCGTGATTGGTCACCATGCAATTATGCCGCTAATATGAGACAGTACCCAGTCATTACCGCCAGTGAACCGCTGAGGGAACGATACCGTTCTCCTGGCAGCTTTGGTACGAGGTCTTCAGCTTATGCCAGCCCGTCCGTGAGGTCGCCGGCAACAGAGTATCCTCCCGCAACAAACAAAGGGAAGCAAAGGAGTAGAGGACATGGACGTGATTCCCAGCCCCAGCTGGAGCCTCAACCTGAAGCTGTTGTCCCGATTAAGAAGAAAAAGAAACCAAGGAAAGTTGTCAAGCATGCCGAACCAGACCCAGGCGAACTGGGCCTGAACAAGGGGCCTCCCGCTCCTGCAGAAACCGCTCAAGTTGGTGGGCACGATGGACACGAGAGTCCCAAAAATGAAGAATCTAGAGCCTGGAGCGACGATCGAAATCAGCAAGAAACCCACGCAGCATCCAATTACCAATCCGATTATGGAATAGACCAGGACGAATTCCGCAATGTTTGGGGAAGGGATGAAGAATCTAGATAAAGGGCTGCTTTTTATATCAAATACCCCTTATGTCCGCTTGGGTTATATGAAACTTGAGGGCATAGCATGGAGTTATGGCTGTCAGTGTACGTTACATTCATACCTGCTCTATTCGTAGCACGGCATTGCATCTTAACTGGTCCTGGCGAAACATGAAACGTTGTTTGAATAGCACACTTTGCTTTTTGACACCTTGATTTATAGTTCTGCGTAACCTTACACCTCACCCCGCTTTCAATCGTTAGCCATAACTCAAGCCCACGTCAAACTGAATACCTCAGCTCCATGTCGCGAGATACCAACTTCAGTCTTGCTGTCCGCACTCTTGATGCTAGTGGGGATCTTGTCACCCTTGCGCTCTAGGATAATCTTCTTACCAGAGGTATCGGGTAACTTATAGAAGCGACGTCCGTTACGACTGAGGAAGTTCTCGAGTATCTCTTGTGTCACATCAGCTTCCGAGATGACGCCACGCTCGATAGCTTCCTCGAGACCAAGGAGGACAAGTTGCACGACGTAGGGCTGAGTGAAAACGCCAGCAGGCGCCTTACCCTGCTCAGCAGAGGTCTTGGACTGCAGGGGGTGGGGAGCGCTGTCGCTACCGCTATCGGAGAATTAGTACCAAAACAAGAACTCAGCTTCAACTTGAGCCCGAGACTTACAAAAAGAACTTGGAGTTGCCACTGACAATAGCCTTGATCAGGGCATCTCTGTCGGTTGGTTTCTTAGGAATGGGTTTGCAGAAGGCGAAAGGATCGCAACAGGCCTCGTGAGAAGTGAGGTAGAGGTGATGAGCGGTGATGGTAGCTATGAAACTGGTCAGGGTTGAGCATCATCAGCGTCAGTTACTTGACACCATACCGCCTACAGTTGGGCCACAGGCCTTGACAGCCTCCACAGCAGCGGAGGTAGTGCAGTGCTCAAGCTAAAACAGGTGTTAACAATCACTATCCTGATCGTGAGGAGGGCGGACATACCACGATGCGTAGCTGAGGGAATCGGTCATGGAGCTGCTTTAGGGTTGGGAGGAAAGCCTCCTCGAGGGTTGTGTCGGCCGGCGCAAGAGACTCGAGGACTTCTCCGTGTATGTTCAGGACTAGCACAGAACAACGGTCAGTTTGGCCTGGGATAGGATTTTCTAGGGTTCTTACCAATTCCATGCTTTTCCATTGCGGCAAAGGTATCATAGAAGGCTGTGATATCCGAAACACCACTCTCAGAGTTGGTGGTTACACCTGCGCGGACGGTGTAAGTGATTACAGTTATAGAGCTGGGCAGGATTACGCACCCTGAGGGTACAACTTGACACCGGTTACACCAGCCTCGGCAGCTTTGGCTATCACTTCAGGAGTGACTGAAGGGTGAAGCTCATACGAGTTAGGGACTGGTAGTATAGGGTGGGTTGAAACTCACATAGAGTGACATGAGGAAGTTGACATCTTGGGAGATGGCAGTGAGCTTGGCCTTGTACTCGAGAACCTACAGGTATAACAGTCAGGCTTGATCTTGCAGAAGTCTACTAAGGCCGTTTTATGAATACGTACCTGCTCGACGGCAGTAAGAGGAGGCAACTATGCGTGGCATGGGTCAGCTGTCATGTATACAAACCATTGGACAATTATGAGTTTTTAACAGTATCACTACAAGACACGACATACGAGATTAGGCATACTATTATATTATATTAGCTTTTAATATCCATTCTGTTATAGTCCAGAGTCCATACACGAATACCGTATCGACTCCTCCTTGGCGAACCGTTGGAACAACCAAGTCCATCATATCGCCCTGACGTAAATGGACATGCATGTCAGCCGCAGCCGGCAGTTCGAGACGCTGAATGTTCTTCATTTTGAGAGCAGTATCAGACGTAGCTGTATCTTGTTAGTGGCAATTGAAAACCTGGTATATCCGTAGACAACGCCTGATATTAGATGATAGCTGAAGCGCGGGGTTCACTTTTTTTCGATGCCCCACGGTCTCAGACAGAGAATGACTAAGAATGCTACCAGGCTTCGGAAATTTTCTGCCAATAAGACAAGCTCTTGACTTGACCGGACAAACCACAAATCCGCGCCTACAGGCGGTGTGAGAAATTTGTCGGTCTGTCAAGGCAGAATCGCAGCAACGGCACAATTCTATCATCAAACTCCAGCCCTACGTTATCAATCCTGCAGCCATTCTGAAGCCCCTTGGACTTACGGCACTGGCCTCTGGTGGAAACGGCGTATCAGACGCCTTGACGGTTCAGGTTGCGGGCGACGCGCTTGCAACGACTCCCCAGAGCGCGCAATGGGCCGCAAGCCCAATCCCCTCATTCTCGAGTACTTCGTCCGGGGACCTAAGCTCAACGACAACAGTAACCGATATCCGCATACGTGCAAGCAATGCGGTGAGAACTTTCCAAAGGGAAGGATCGATAGCTTGACAACGCATATCACCAAGAAATGTCCCGCCATCTCCGAGTCGGATCGTATGCGAGCATGCCTCGAACTTCATGGTATCACCAATGCACGAGCACCTGTCGATCGACCGCCTCCTGAAGCGCAGCCGAACGGACAGCCAGTTGATGTCCCAAATCTCCCCCAAGGGTGGAGCGCCCTCGAGACACTCGCCGAAGCCTCACGACAGGTTGATTTAAACGAGAACAATCGTGCTCAGAGCGTACAGGCAGGCGTGGTTGACCCCGCTGACCCCGCCAACACCCAGCATGTTCCAGATCGCTTTGAGCTCCATGAGCAATTCACTCTAGATAATCCTCCTGTGAGCTACGAGAACCGGTCGCAGCAGGGTAACAGAGGTAATGGCCCCTCAGAGCTTGACTTGCAAGGCGCGCTTCTCACAACAAATGTGTTAGGTGCAATTCAGCAACCACTCCCAGGAACCGAGTTATCACCCGAGGAACGACTTCAAGCATTGCTTCCTAATAGCGTTGCTTCCCCAGACGTCTCGAACATATCGGTCGCCGTTGCTGCTACAGCCAGGCTAAACCCGTCGCTTCTTGACCCCCAGCTCGTTCACGAGACTGGTACCTCGACTACACCGCCGTCTATGGACATTCCGACCCCGATAGAAGCCTCGCCCAGTGCCGTAACAGCTCCCGACAGTGGAATCTCGCAACCATGGGGCGAAATGACATACTTGGCGACTGCCTCGCCTGTTCCTTTACTTCACGAACATCCACCCACACCTATCCAAATGAGCAGGGGTGGTGTTCGAATGGACACAAGCGATGGTCAACTTAATGGGAGACCTCGACACGCGCGATCCCGCTTTACTGCTGCGCGGCGAAAGGAGGTGCAAGAAGTACGGAAAATAGGTGCATGCATTAGATGCAGAATCCTTCGAAAAAATTGCGGCAAAGGAACACCATGCGACACGTGCAGGAAGGTTTTGGCACCGAGGGTGTGGAGGACTGGTTGTGTGCGAACGAGGCTCCAGGAGCAGCTCGATTTGTACTCGGCGGGTGTCCAGGTTGTCCTGTCCCAAAATCGCATCAACCTTTTGAAGAACCAGCTGAATATGACCCATGATGGTACCATGATAGAGGTTTCGCACTTTCCTGAAACTGGCAAAGTCATACTCCTCGAAGCTTTGGTCGCACTGCTAGAGCCAAGTGAGTCGCTAGCAGAATCCAGAGGCAGCAAGGATTCATTCTTCCAGGTTATTATGATCGATCAGGACAAGGAAGATGTTCCTGGCAAGGTTGAGGCCTATATGCGCGATGTCTTTCAACTTTTTATCGACCGAGAGCCCTCCAAGTTCATGCGTGTCACTCTTAGTCTTGCTCTTCAGCAATTGCAAGAGTCAGAGGATGATCTACTTCGAAGGTCCTTAGAGCTATGGGGTTTGGTGGAGAGCATCGATCGCGAGAGGCAGTGGAACGTTATTGAAAGACCAGCCAATAAGAATGAAGAGCCCAGACGCATCCAAGAAGCCAAAAGCGAGAACGATGCTGACATCTATACGACCCTTTGCATGCAGCTGAACGCGGCAGCTGAGAGAAAGGCCAACAACACTTCAAAGGCACTGCTCAGCGGAATGCATCGCGTGCTTCAGGACAGCAAGGTCAAGGTGAACTTTAAGATGTATCTAACGGCTATCATCTTCCTCAACTGTCTTGAGAAATCGACTTGGGCTTTCAAGGCTTGGGAGCAAGATCATCTCCGCCCTGGATGGCCCCTAGAACGAGACCCGGGTGTCTTCACACAGCAGGGTGGTAATCTAGCAGGGCTGCTGAAGATGCTTTTGGCGATCCGCAAAGCCCTGCCACAAACACTTCGCAGTGAGGCAGGCAAGTTGATCACCTCGGAACAAGACCCTGTTATAGGGACTTACTTCCAAAGCATCGATCTGGACTGTGAGTACCCTTTGTTCTAATCCGTTTGTAATGCTCGGCTAATCACTGTGACAGACGATACAATCCTTGCCCGCCAAGATGGCTCTCCCTTCTCTCCAGCAGACTCTCGATCCCTCGAGATGATTCTCTGCTCTCACCTTCTCATTACGAACACTCCTTGAAGGATTCTTCACAGGCCGATGCTTATGACACTTGCAAACGTTGCGAACGGAGTATATTGGCATAAATCATGCACGGAGGGAAGACGTATTTGATTTGAACCGTTTAATGGCTAATGACTGGACGGAAAAGAATATGAATTTTGATACCACACGATATATACTATACATATGTATGACTAGGCACGGTGCCTTTGGCCCAACGTGTTATGAGGGGAGCAGGAAAAGTCAACGAAAACAGAATAGAAATCAGGGGTTGTGGTTCAACTCTGGCGTTCACGGCATAGACAAAAAAAACAAGAAACAATATACCTCGGGGTTTCTTTGATGAAGGTTTCGGCGATGGAACGGGCTTGCAGAAGTGAAGAAAGTTGATCATGATTCACTTCGCTTATGCTCTAGAGTACTACGTATTCTTAAATACACAGACCTCCCCACCGAGCCCGCTCTAACCTGTAGAGTCCATATCCGTTGTGTAACTATCATCCTCCCGCTCTTGGTTGTTTGATATGCTGGAAATATGCGGATCCAGAGCCTTCTAGGTTGAGATACCGGACAGACCGCTATTATTCCTGCTAGGGCCGTGGCCAGGCCTTTTTGGCTTCTTGAAGCAAGCAAACTCGTTTTTGCTCGCTTCTCTAAGGCGTTTGAGAACGTTGCGCATTTCGGACAATTCGCCTTGGAGACGTGCGCGGGCCTCGTTGTCCGTACGCGCATCGAGCTCTTGATAGATTTGGCTCTGAAGCTCTGAAGCACGCTCCGAAGTGTAGTGGCTGAGGGTCTGGGCGACGAATTCCACGTCGAGGGTTGCCTGCATGAGTGCCTCTAGAGTATAGTGTGGCCGACGTCGGAAGGCTTCTAGGAGCTGGGTGGACGTCTGTTCGAGGAGGAAGGACAAGACTTCGACTGTGAGAGCCGGCGCAGTAGTAGAAACCTGAGAATGGACAAGTACAAGGGTAAGAAGCGCCTCGTACACGTACGGTTTAGCTGCCTGAGTACGTTGCCCTTGACCAGGAGCCCAGTCAGGGGCTGAGATGCCTGATTGAATGACATCGCGAAGCCTCTCGATTGACTGCTTTGTGTAGGACTGGAAAAGTCGTTCGTGGATCTGTCCAAGAACTTCGCGAATCTTTTTGGACTCGTCAGTCAACTTGACGGAGAAGGCATTCTCGAACTGCAAGTTGAGACTCGGCACTACTTGCGACCGCAATGATGACAGGTTGCTCAGGGTCATGAGCATGCGAATGTTCTAAATAAAATTGTCAGTACAGTGAAGTCGTTCGAAGTGGGTGGTGGAAAGCCTACCCTGTCCCCTGAGTCCAATGCCCCTTTGCCTGCCATGCTCGGCGCCACAGCCAATGCAAGCGATCTCTCGCTATCAATTAACCAGTCGTCCTCCGTCTTCTTCAAAGATCGCTCGGCATTTTCTACCATGCCACTCAATGCCTTGTACAGGGTGGTAACATATTGGCTGCGGACCATCTGGAGAAGTTTGGTCGGAGGTGGCAAGACAATATCTCCCGAGCCTGACCTGGACATGGCATCAGGGATGTAGAGAATTTTCTGCATGCCTGATAGGACTGCTCCTTCGAAGGCAGCGAAGCTGGCTGGCATTCGTGTCACGTCCCCCATCTCAACCGAGCGCTGCCAGTCCTCAACATACTTAATATTCTCAGCATCTCTGTTCCAGGCGGCGCACAATGCTGTCACGCATCGCTCTCGGGAACCTCCAACAAGACTTCTGAGGCGATCGATCACCTGGCCTTCTCCGGACTCAATTGGCTCAATGCACGCTAAATCACCAGCTCCAGCGCCAACCAAAGTCAGCATCTTGGACAGATAGTGAACGCCGCTGATAGAATTAGACCACGGAGGCCAGAATGCCAGCTTTTCCCAGACTTCACCCCTCTTGGGCGACGGAGGAGGCATGTTGTTTGGGTCAAAATTGAAGCGAGGATCTCTGGGAGATGACAATGTGGCGGATCCAGGCGTTGTCGGGGCCGGCGTATTGGGGATTGGCGAGAAAAGCAGGGATACATCTTCGGGGGGCATATCCACGAAGAATGAATAAGCGTGTTCTCGGAGCAAGTCCACTAGTTCCACAGCTCCTTTTCGTAATTCGCCAACGCTCTGCGGTGATAGTTCATGGTGATGCCGAGACTCGCCGCGATATCCAACCGGAAGGGCAGCTTGAGCAGACCCATTAATGAACCCTTGCACTGTCTGCCAGAACTCTATCACCTCACCCAAAATACCTTCACTTGACAGGAGACTGTTAAGGAACGATAACATCTTCTCCCAGAGCTCAATTACTTCAGGTGAGTCGAATGTCAAAGGCTTGTCCTCAATCACCGGCCGTCCTAGGGATCGTAGATGCGCAGCGATAATATTGGGGTTCGGTTTATCGTTACTGGCCAGCCGGCGACGAAGCACCTCGATCTCAACTTTTGAGCGGTCTGCTGTCGATTGAATTTTGCCCTTCAAATGATCGTATCGACTCAAAAGCCATACCCAGATGGGATTGTCGTCGGCGCCAAGCTCAAGAAGTAGTCCGATGAGTTCCATATGTTGATCTTGAATACGGCCAGTTGTGCCATCCGTCCTGGATGAGGTGTGAAGAGTAACCAGCCTCTTCCAGATATCACGTTTGAAGGCGCGTATCTGCTGGTCAACATCATACCACATGCGTCCCGCTATCAACAACTGGTAAAGCTGGGGCTCTGTCGGTGTCTCGTCCCCTATTTCCTCTGTCAATCGTCGAGCTTCGTCTGCAATTTTTCTTGCCCTGCTGAACTCGTCGACTAATGATTCATAGTCCTTGCGTTTGATGCTGTCTGCTATCGACGTGCTCAGCTCAACATAATCCTTGAATCTGGTCAGATGATTTGAAACAGTTTTGAGGTTTTCCTCCTTCTCCCTTCCTCCTAAAGCAGGTCCCCATACGTCCTCAGCCTTTGCAGAAACTTCCAGGAGAGGGCCCTTTATTCCCAACACACCGTACTCGCTCTCTTTTGTCAGTGCATTCTTCTTACGCGTGTCAATATTGGGAGATGTCAGGGGATTGTTGATTCCTAACCCAGCACCGCCCGCCACACTATTGCGATAACTGCGACGCTGGGCTGCATTAGAGTGCGCATTATTGGCGTCAGGTGGTTCCATTCCGCGGTATTTCATCTCCTTATAGACATTATCTATTGTTGCTTTGGCTTTGACGAATCTTTCGAAGTTGGTCTCAACGAGGACCTTGAGGGACGCTGACTTTTGATCGATGGATTGTGATAGAACATCGAGACCAGTAAGGAGACTCCGAGTGTCGGCAGTAGCATGCATCTGGGAGAGGAAGAGAGCTGGTGAAAATGTTGTTGAGGAGAGTAGGAATCGATTGCCTGATGTAGTCACACGCCGTCAATCTATTATATCCGTGAAGCGTACAGTCATGGCACGGGAGCATACGTAGTCGGTGGTCATCTTGTAGGGGCAGACCAAGATGCTTCAGCGTTCTGACGACGCTATCGGTAGTCCCTAGCGGATCCGGCTCGTCTTTTTGAACAATATTTCCAACACCTCCTTGATCGTCTTCTCTGGGAATGTTGCTCCTTCGTTGGCTCACAGCTCTCTCGAGCGCCTGATAACGTGACTGTCTTCGTTTTATAGCAGCATTTTTCTCGCCTTCATCATCATCGTCCAAGTCTTCCAGGTCCTTTTCAGCTGGCCATTCTGTAGGATACAGAGTAGGAATCTGGTAAAAATCGAGGATCGTACGCTCGGTATCGGCCATGGTGATTCTGATGATGGTCTTGAGTTAGAACTCAGGGGTGGCGTCGCATACTCGATAGGGTCGGACTGTGTTGCGCCGGGTCGGCGCAGTTATCTTTGCGAATTATTCTCTAGTCTGGAGAGCGAATCTAATAACGAATGTCACACGCGCAATGTTGCACGGGTCTATTATATCACAGGTGGTGTTGCTGTGAATAGGTGCTTGGAGATATAGTGTTACGATGAGCTAGAAGCTACCTATCCTGGGTACACGGGAGCAGGCACTACGGTAGGTGTATGTGGCTGGACAATGGCCAGGTGATGGTACCTTATATTGGGCTGTGGGGTTCAAGTGTGGCAGTCCAGCTGTGGCGTCACTTATTGCTGTGACGTGCATTTCTGTGGTTTCTTTGTGAAACATCAGGTGAACTACGGATGCCCACCGGCCCCTCGTTGCTCGGAGAAGGCTTCTGGATTGTGGACGATCCCGTGGAAGGACGGGAAGAAAAAAAAATATATCAACCTAGCAATGGAGCGGAAGTCCGCGCGGGATACGAGGCTGTAGCCGAAAGGGAACCTTGAAACCACTGTAAAAGGCGCGAAAAAGTGGAGGGTAGTGGAGCTGGGCGCCGCAAATGCCTTGGCCTACCGTTGTTTTCAGTGGCTAGTGGCCCTGTGCAGACTGTCAACCTGTGGCTATACTGGCATGAAAGCAGCATTGGCCATTCGGATTTGGTCTGGTTTGGGGTGTGGTTGTGTTTGTGGTTGGGCTGGGCAGGTTGTTTTCTTCCATTGACCTGAGTTAATCTTTCCTCTTTTCTATTTCTTGATCTTCTTGTCACGCTCTTCCCATTATACCCTCTCCTCTCTTCCAATCCTCGCCTTACATTGCCTCTTCTTTCTCAAGCTGTGCCTAGCTAGTCTCTCTGCTCGCTCCTCTTCATAATGCTGGCCATTCGAGCTCTCCGAACTCCCGCCTCCAGGCAAGCCCTGCGCGCTGCTACTCCCCGCGCCGCCATCTTCTACGTATGAGATCACCACCAAAACTACCCCAAATTTATTCAAAGATGCAATTTGGGCACAACATGGGCACTCACTTACACCCTCTCTACAGAACCGATGCTACTCAACCTCTGGCGAACGAGTTGCTAAGTACAACGGTACCAAGGATGCCAATGTACGTTTTGCGCTCCCTCATAAAACACCTTTTGGATGATCCTAGCGCTCGGCTGGGCCGAGCAAGGTGCCGAGATAAAATAACTCAGTCTCGATCGACACAATGCTTGGCTTCAGTCAATTGAAGAGATATTTTGCTAACTCATCGCGCAGGGTAACTTCCTGGTCAGCTTGATCGAGGGTGACGGTATTGGCCCCGAGATCTCTCAGTCCGTCAAGGACATCTTCGCCGCCGCCAAGGTTCGTCATGACAACTCGCCCACCCGTATAAGTCGCACCAAAAAAGAAAACAATTATGCTGACACAACATCTTCAAGACCCCCATTGCTTGGGAGCCTGTCGACGTTACCCCCATTATCAAGGACGGCAAGACTGCCATCCCCGATGCTGCCATTGAGAACATTCAGAAGAACAAGATCGCCCTCAAGGGTCCCCTCGCTGTACGTCACCATGAACCAAATTTGTCACAGTCTGCGTCTCTCTCGTGGCCCAATGGCTAACATCTCTCTCAAGACCCCCGTTGGCAAGGGACATGTCTCCCTGAACCTTACTCTCCGACGAACATTCAACCTCTTCGCTAATTTGCGACCCTGCCGATCCGTCGCTGGCTACGAGACCCCTTATGACAATGTCGACACCGTCCTGATCCGAGAGAACACCGAGGGTGAATACTCTGGTATTGAACATGTTGTCGTCGATGGTGTCGTTCAGAGCATCAAGCTTATCACCCGTGAGGCTTCCGAGCGTGTCCTGCGATTCGCCTTCCAGCACGCCGAGTCCATTGGCCGCAAGAAGGTCCGCGTTGTCCACAAGGCTACCATCATGAAGCTCTCAGATGGTCTCTTCCTTAAGGTTGCCCAAGAGGTTGCCAAGGACTTCCCCGGTATTGAATTCGACGCTGAGCTCCTCGACAACAGCTGCCTCAAGATGGTCACTGACCCCACTCCTTACAACGACAAGGTCCTTGTCATGCCCAACCTCTACGGTGACATTCTGTCCGATATGTGCGCCGGTCTCATCGGTGGCCTTGGTCTTACCCCCTCCGGAAACATTGGTGATGAGTGCTCCATCTTCGAGGCTGTCCACGGTTCCGCTCCCGATATTGCTGGCAAGAACCTTGCCAACCCTACTGCCCTCCTCCTCAGTTCTATCATGATGCTGCGACACATGGGTCTCACCGAGCACGCTTCTCGCATTGAGACCGCTATCTTCGATACTCTTGCCGAAGGCAAGGCCCTCACTGGTGATCTTGGCGGCAAGGCCAAGACCAACGAGTACGCCGCTGCCATCATCTCCAGGCTGTAAATATACATCCTTTAGTTTAGATACCTGCCTCCTCACCCGAGGGTTTATACGCGATTTTCTTTTTTTTTAAGGGTAGTGTACTTATTGAGTGTACCAGACCTAGAATCAGGCACGGCGAAATGATTAAGTTACGGAGTTGCTCTTGATGATGCGGACCAATAAAAATAGTGTATGAGATGAGAACCAGTGCAAGATAATGCCTGAGATATGCGATATAGTATTGGTAACAACATAGTCAAAATTCAAAATTTATCACTCTCGTGTCGCTCTCATAACAACAGTTACTTCTAGCCCGAGGTAAAACTCCTTCCATATCTCGCCACAATTTTGCATGATGCTCATTCATCATGAGTTTCAGATACCTTTTTTGAGTGGTGACCAAATTTCTGCGCTAGGTAGGCATTGGCTACCCTACAGTTCATCACACCAATTTCGGGTTCATTGGAGACTTTGTACCCTTGTGCTGATTCCCTTTTGCGTTATGCCCTACACGTTGCTTTATATAAGTTTGAAAAGGATGGCATTTGTATCCAGTGGGATTGTTGAAGAGATGTAGTATCTCGCATGTGAAACAAGACTACTTGCGGTGGGAAGATTCATAAAGAAAAGCGGCCAACAACATTCATTCAGCTAGATCAAGGTGACGAGAGCAAAGAAAAGATATGACTTGACTGAACGTGCCAAACCACATTCTGTCCCATCTTATTACGCTTCTAGTTCAACGCTGCCCCAGTCACCACTAATAAGTTGTAGATGCCTGATGCAAAGTGTAATAAGCGACGCTCCGTAAGTTACATGCAGGTCCAGATTCACCAACCCCCCTTGTGCATCGTCTTTGTCCCATCCAGTTTACCCTGATCCAAAAACCCAAAGCATTGCCGTTGAGCCGTTTGCGCCGCCTTGCCATCGCACCCTGGGTAGCATTTGTCACCAAAAGCAACTCCACATTTGGAAGCTGTCTCTTGACCTCATAGTCGACCAGATCGAATTTCCTTATCAAAAATTTTGACGCCCCAAACCTCATAAAACTGCAGGACTCCAACGGTCTTGAGTCGAAGCCTCTTTCCACAATTCGAGGCATCATCATCGTCCTCCTCACTTTCGCTATCCGAACCCCAGGATGGTAGCACAGGCAGATTGCTGCTGTTGTGATGTGGATGAACCGTAGCCTTTTCCTTGCCCTTGCCTCTTCTCTTCTCCCCTTCTTCAATTGCGTCCGTAGGGCGAATGACCCTGTCGAGACGATCGTCCTCCATAGCGATCCACTCCAGCTTCAGCTCGGGATGGTGAGAGAGATTATCCACGATGAAGTTCAGAATCTCCCGCATGACCCATATACATGTGTCATTATTCCTGAATCGAAGAATGTTTATAGCACGAAGGTTGACTAGTCCAGCGAAATACTGCATGAAGGCGTGCTAATATTCGTGTTAGTGACTGATCGGACTTCTGATAATGCCAACTTACCACTGCGTGGATATTCATGCTGAGAGCCAGCTCCTCGAGCTGCACACCACGGTTACAAATAAGTATCATTGCCTTCTGATTCGCATCCCAGCTGCTGCTGTTTGATTCGTCCTTGATCATGAGTCTCTTGAGTGTGTGCATGTGCTTCCTGAGGACGAGCCGACGGATCTGGTCGATCGTGACGGTAGTTCGTGGTGCGAAACTCTCAGGCTTATGTTTAGCGCTTCGCTCCAACAAGAACAAGTCGTGCAATTCTTCAAGCTGGGACATGCAGTTGAGGAATGCGGTCGAAACATTGTCGGTAAAGACACTCCGTAAGGCCAATGGCGAGACCTTGTTCTCTTTGGAGAGCAACGTCCAGATTGGGCCCTGATTACCAACATTTAGTAGGGTCAGGTTCTTAATGCACTTCAGGTCAATAGCCCTCGACAGAACGGATGCCTTGACAGGGATGAGATGAATGCTCAGTGTTTCTAGCGCAATGCCACGAGTGTCTCGTAGGTATTCGTCAATCGAGCGTCGTGACTTTTCGCCGTCGTTATTTTGAGCTTTTCCGAAGACTTGATCCTCGATATGTTTGATCTCGAGATGAGTCGTTTTGATCGCGCCTCTGATATGTTCAGCTTCCTGACTTAGTTCTCTTAGTTGTGTCACTGAGTCCTTGAACTGTTCCAACTCAGCGACAGTACCCTGCACACGAATCGCCTTGATTTTCTGGATGAAAGCATCGTTTTCGTCCTGCAACTGCTGTAGATTTGACAGTAGGGACTCATAATTCACCCGCTGCGCATCCAAGTTTGTGTGTACTTTGTTCAGCCCTGGGGTCGCAGATGGGTCTGCGTTAGCATCCGGTGTCTTCGAAGGTAATCCAGAGGGATCAGCAACTGCCTCTGGTGTTTCTGATTCTTTAACTCCAACTTCCTTCTCCCCAATGTCCTTGGTCTGTTGTTCGTCCGAATCCACTTCCAACTCATCTATGGTATCCAGATGTTCAATTTCGATATCGTCTGGTGATGCATCATTGTTTGAGTCGTTATTCTTAGACAGTGGGGTCAAACTTGATTCCGTTGTCGTCGGCTTCGATCCGCCACTCTCATCACTCTGTTGCTCCTCATCATTCTTAGGTGTCGCTGAGGTGCTACCGGACGGTTCATTGTTTGACTGAGAAGAGAGCTCACATGAATCCACATATTTTCTTGCTGCCTTTTCAATCACGTCCAAAATATCCTGCTGGGCTGTCGAGAAGTCACGAGTGCCATTTATATGTGACATAAGTCTTGTTGAAACACTGCGGATAGATGACACAAATTCTTCCCGAGGATCTTCTGAATTGTCGTTGGTGCCGGCTTCTTGATCATCCTCTTGGCTGGTCGCTGCCTCGCGAGGACTCTGGATAAGCGCAGGCTTCTTGGTAATAAAAGGTTCGACATCAAATATTCTTCCCAGGATGCCCTCTTGAAGTTTACGCTCTTCCTGGGAGCGAAATGTCTTCGCAGGGCCGCTCGCGTCGAAGCTGGTGCTCTGGGAAACAGGAACCACTTGAAACTCATCATCGACATCAGAATCGTCCGGATCTGAGTCGGGTGGCGGTCGTCTAGCTTGCAGGCCCAGACTATCAGAAAGAGAAAGCTGCAGTTCGGTAAGTGTGGCGGAAGAATTTCGAACGCAAGTCTTGAGCTCCGTTACCAATTCGAGATTGTCGATATCGAGAACGGAAAGACTTTTCAGTTTTTTGAAACCCGAGAGCGTTGGGGGCTCCTGTGTCACAGAGTCACGCTTATTTCCCTTTGCCTTGGAGGATTGCTTGGGCGGTGGCAACAGAGGAGGTGGTGAAGTGATGACTGGCAGAGATGCCATAGCACCAGCCAGTGGGGCTGAAAACACTCCCGGGGGAGGCCCAGGCGGAGGAGGAGGAATATCTGGCCAGTGAGTTGAAGCGGGAGGTAGAGCGTCAATGCTAAGAGGGAGAGGAGGGGGTGTGATGTAGTATGTATCCCCGGCTTGGAGGCGAATGTGGAATTTTGTCAAAGTATTGATCTTGTGAAGCTCACGAAAGACCGGTCTGCTTAACTCAACGCGAATGTTCCACCTGGCCAGAAAATTAGTGATCAAGAACTTTCCAAGAAACCAGATACAGCCTGCTGTGGAACACACCTAAAAGATTCGAGTGACTTGGCTTTCTTCAGAGTGAGATAGAGTAAAGTATTAAGGAACTTGCCACAACTGGCACTATACAGATACGGCTTGTAGGCATGCTCGGCTTTCACGCCAGTGCTCACTGTATCCATAGACAGTTCTCTCAGGTGCTTCGCGTAGTTGTAATCACTCGTAGTGAAGGTGTCGAGGCCACCCGCAAGGCCATCGATTGGGGATTCGAACCTCACATCATCGTCATCGGGAAAGAGGATGTTGAAGCTACGATAGAGCTGCGCGGATGCCAATTCATGAAAGTGCCGAGATACAAGAGCGCAACATATCAACTCAGACTGGGAGCACTATGGGGTCGTCAGCAATGTCGTACGAGGTACAGGATTGTGAATCTAGTCACGAACATGCGACAAGATGTCCTGCTGGGTCTCAGCTGGGAGATCGAGAAAGGTGAGTCTGCGCTTGGGCGGGGTGGCAGCCTCGTTGCCGGTGGCCTCCGCAGCCATGATGATTGAGCGGGGGCAGCGTGGCAACTAGGCTGACTCAAAGGCGAGGAGAGAACAATGAAGCAGATAGATCGAAGAGTAGAAGGACAAGGTCCTCAGTGGAACGGCCTCAGTCTCAACAGGCGATGCGACGGATGGATGGATATTTCGCGATGCGACTGGGGTAATGCGATGCGATGCGCTGGGCATGCAGATGCGCCGATGTAGGATGTGCTCGAATGGATAGCGTCGATCAGCAGGAGCTAAAGAGGAGGCTATAAACTGGGGCCTAAGAGATGAGAGAGATGCCGAAGCGACGATTGGGATGGGGAGACGTGCATGAAGATAGAATCATTCGGTTGAGTAAGGAATGAAACAAAAAAACGAAGCAAGGATGGAGGAGAAGCAAATCCAAGCAAGTCCCAGTCAAATCAGTCGCGAGCCGCTTTGGGGTCGTAGTCGCAAGTCTCAAGTTCTGGGTTAACGTTAGCTGAAGTTGAATTGTTGATCGTTGGTTGGCTGTGAATGGCGGCTAGTGCGGGGCGGATCAACGATGACCAGCTAGGATCTTCTGACCCAGTGCGCATTGCTCCGTAACTCAGTGGAGAAACATACTCTAGGTAAGGTACCTGTAGTGTGGCAGCTCTTGCTGACTGCCTGCACCTCAAGTTTGGCTTTGCTGCACTGAATAACCTATCTGGAGGATAGGTACCTATCTTCCTAGATTCGAGTAGCCTATAGTGCCTCTCTTAGCAGTGGAGGCGTTGCAGTTAGCTGCTGAAGTTTGACGATATCTGAATCTTTTCAACCTCTAAAGTGCCTGCATGCTTAATTTGTCTTTACCGGTCAAATGATGTTGTGTAACAGTGCATATTAACGGCACCCACGGTTTTATACAGAATCACGAAACTAGAGCATCCTGATTCTAGCAGCCATCCTTTCTTATGATAAATTGCCTTTACCAGGGATGATCGCGCTCAGACACTTCATCTGGGCACCTACATATATCTTGTGCCAGGTGTCACTGCTACAAATATGGATAAATAGACTAACTCTATATGAGTCACAAACAGAGACAGCTAATCTTTGTTACTGACGTTGAAGAGGCTGAATATTTATATAAACTCTTCACTGACTTCATCCTACACACGTGGCAACATTAGACTTGCTATGCATTTTTTTCAGCAACTTGATTAACAAAGCCAACAGTGGCAGGGCACAGAGTATGACTCCCACCGAGTGTTGATCCTTGAAGTTGACATGACATCAACTTCATGACGATTCTGTTCTGGCAAATAATCCAGTGTACTTTACTAGTAAGATATCTACCTTACCAAGTTTTGATCTTTGTGAGTATGTGCGGTAAAGGCATACTGACCAAGACGACACATAATTGGGGCCCGGGTGGAAATGAATATGATTTTCATGGTTTATTTAAAGTGATGCTATATGCCCCTCAACTATTAGATACCTGCTTGTCAGCCCTCAAGTTATCATGATCACTACATGAAACACCACATCTCCAAATCCGCATCCTGGTTTCTTAAGTGCAACTAATGACTAACGTTGCCTTAGATCTCCCGTCCAGGCATGCACTAGCCGTCTGATATTGGAAGCTACCTTAGGTAGGTTCTAGTTAGTGTATATCTACGGCGTCCGAAAAACGCCCCCCACCGTTAGCCTGACATAGTGTCTTGTTTCATGTTTTGAATGTTTCTGTTTCTCCGTAAGTTGTGGGATGGGGTTTTATAAAATCAAAGGTATTGATCAAGAGAACACCTATTTGCTGGATATTGTCATTTCCAGCCAGACTGAGTCCCTTTGATTCTGTTTTGAGCCACGGTGTTCTGAATACTGCAATTGTTCTCTGCATGGATCACTTCTAACTAGGGCTTACTTTGCGAGAGAACGGCGTGAATATTGAGCGCTGATATTGTAGTCTATGTAATTATAATCACAACATTGTGTTGACTGGTCTTATATGGAAGAATATTCATTGATTTTTGCCTTTGATTACGCGGCAGAGCAAGAAAAGGGGGAGATATCTCGATTACTTGCGATCATCACAAGTGTCTGGGTCTAGGCACATAATTGCCGAGAGCCAAGTCATCAAACGGTTGGAGGGCAGACTGTTGTGTGGAACGACGAGTACAACAGCCAGTTAAACAATTCAACGCTTGTGTACGCTCGTATAAGATGACGCTCGTATATTGTTACGGTCAGTGCAATCATGACCAACAGCTCTCCAAGTCTAACGCAAAGCGAACGTTGGCTCTAAGAACATCATGAAACTATAGTTGGTGGACCTGGTGCTCTATCATTCTTCCCCGCCCTCTAAACTGCGGCCCTCAGGTTCCACCTGCAGGGCTGTGTGGCTATGTTCGATCCCTCTGGACCCCTTGAATCAACGCTTGGGTCAACTCAGGCACCCGTCAGTCATCCGTTTCATCGTCTGTCGTATTTCTTCCATCCTCACTCTCACTCTGACTGTCATTCTTGTTTATTGAAACCGAATTGACATCTTCCACGTCTGTCGCTATCATCTTTGTTACAGACACTACTCGAGTCTTTGTAATCGCATTCACAGCTAAAGATATTATATTATCGTACCTTCATCACCACCTTCATCCTCCTGTCTAAATATACATCGTGAATACGAAAACGTTGAAACTTTCCTTTCGAATTAGAGTATCAAAATGGCCGACACAGAGGAGCCCCAGTTCAACACTCTAGCTGAGCGCATTGCTGCTCTCAACAAACAAAAGAGTTTCACAGGTGCCCCAAGCCAAAGTCCCGGACCAGTTCGCAAACGACCGCCGCCTCCTCCCCCTCCTGGCCGCCCAGCAATTGAATCTAGAAGCCAGACGGTACCAGCTATTTCGACCACTTCAACACCGTCGCAGAGTAATCCAGCGATTCCTCCTCGCCCTACGCGAAAAGCGTCGACACCACAATTAACAGCGCCGAATGGTCAACATGATGTCCAACAACGAGCCCCGCCTCCGCTCCCAAGTCGGACCCCAACTATGCAGTCCGCTCCGTCTTTACCACCAAGGCGACCCTCAACGCAGTCTAGTCTAACAGTGCGGCGGAACTCTGGCTCGTCAGAAAGATCACAGAACTCGGCGATATCTTCGTTATCTACGGGCAGGCCTCCATCATCAGTGACGAGTGTCAACTCTGATGGAGCCGGCTATAAGTTGCCACCTGCTTATGATCCCGCAAGTCTCCCCAAACTTCCTCCATCAAGAAGAGAAAAAGAAGCGGCCGTCAAGGAGGCAGCGAAACCCAATCGTGCTCCGCCGTCACCGCAGCCTCCACGGGCTATTGAGCCTGCGCCTCCAGCTCGACCTAGTCTGCCACCTAGGCTGCCTTCACGCCCAGCAAAACCACAAGCGGATGCTACACCTGAACCACAAGCGGCGTCGCAACCCAGAAAGTTACCCCCAAGGCCATTGGTGAACTCAAAAGCGAAGACACCGGTGATTCTTGGGTTTTCAAACAAGGACAAACCCAAAGACTCCCAGCCAGCACTACCCACACGGCCTCCGATCCCAGGCCGCTCACAATCGGGAGATGAACCACCGCCGGTGCCGCTCTCTTCTCGACCCTCAGTCGCCCAGATTGAAGCGTTCGAGACGCGGGCTCTTACTCCATCTGCCCCAGTATATGGATGCCTAATATGCCGGGACTGGAGCGATCCAGATGCTGTAGCTGCGCAGTATCCTCGAGATACTGTGCCGAGGGATGACCCGGTGGGTTATCTGGCTCAGGTTCTTTGTGGCCCATTTCCCTCATACACGGACAAAGCGCGAGCGATCTTTACTTGGTTCCATCACAACATTAGTTATGATACCGCTGCATTCTTTGGCAATAATGTAAGGCATATGACGGCGGAAGATACAATTTTCACTGGTAGAGCCGTATGCGCAGGATATGCAGAAACATACAAAGCGATCGCTAACAGAGCTGGCCTTGAGTGTGTAGTTGTCACCGGTCACGGGAAGGGCTTTGGATACACTCCGCTCAAGAAGGGCGAGCGCCCACCAAGAGCAGATCCAACCGGACATGCTTGGAACGCAGTGCGAATCGATGGCGGTGACTGGAAGTTACTGGACGCATGCTGGGGTGCCGGACATGTAAATGGGCAAAATTACGAGCCCAAATTCTCTCCTCTACAATTTACCAACGCCAATGAGAACTTTGGCCTCAGACATTTCCCGTCCGAATCACGATATCAATTCAGGGCGGACGGCCAACCAGTCACGTGGGAAAACTACTACACTGGAGGAATTGATGGCGAGCCCCATGGAATGTGCTCAACTACAGGTGAAGAGGGCATCGCCGAGTCCAGTGTAGAGCCGAAGCAGCGGCATATACCTATTGACAGCGGTGAGGTTGTGCGATTCCAATACTCAAAGGTTTGCGAACACTGGTCAGAGAAGATGTGTGGCGGTAAAGAGCGGCTGGTGCTCCTCTGCCTTCCCCGAGGCGATGGTCAGAAGGAAGAGATGATACCCATGGAAACGAACGGATACTGGTATTGGCTTGACGTTAATGCAAGCGATCTCGGGCCTCGGGGCAAGTCGGTACGGCTGCTTGTTCTCACAAAGTTCGGAGACCGCGAAGATGCAAGGGGAGTCACAGGCAAAGAATTCCTCGCCAAGTTCGGTAGATGCGCAATGGGCTGGTCGTACCTTGTTACATGGGACTTGGTTTGAGGCCTCTTATCTGATAGTCACATACTTGGCGTCTCCTGATGGTACTATATATCTGCATGTTGCAGTCTGGAAAGACTTGGCGAATACACGCCTCATCATAAAATCTCCGTCCCGCACCTCGGTGCATGAACTAGACACCTGACGACCACTCCCTCAGGAAAATGATATGGACCATCTTTTAGTGCAGATGGTGAGTTTATGCACTGGAAACTCGATGCTTAACAGGAACAGGGGCGTATCATCAGTTCCTGAATGCTACGTTCCAAGTTGCCTCTTTCGGCATTTTGATGAATGTAATACGAGAGGGTAGCAGAAAGTCGGTACCCATGTTCCCAATGAGATATATGATGATGTTTGCTAGGTGGTATTGTCATTGACCGGGTTCTATAAAGCACCATAGTACTGAGGATCGACAGGCAGCTCCTCCCGTCGAACTTGACTTCTTACCGCGAGGGGTATAGTGGATCTTCAGGGTAGAACCGAACGACGAGAATTGGTGCCGAGACATCTTTTAGATGCATCTTTTTCTTGGACCTCATCTTGGCAATCCCCATGACGCACACAGGGGCTGTGCACCTGTTGATGATATCAGAAATGGCATCGTGTACAGATTTAAGTTTATCACAGGTACTTCAGTTTTGCTTATGGTGCAATTTGGGGATGGCCATTTGTGCATTAGTAGGTAGGGCACTATGTACTATATAGGAGCTTAAGAGAACTCATGAGAGCGAAAGGTAAGGTATCATGAGTAATCGGCTTTTACAAGCTAGAAGAGTGACCAAAGACGGAATACTACCCCAGCAGCCTATCTATCCACGAGTATCAAATGCGAAAGACTATAAAACGAGTTACATAATTCATCATAGTATGATCATCTATATTGTAATAACTGTTATGCTGAGTTTGGTCTAAGTCTTAGTATGATAGATTGCCAATCGACTCTGATAAGCAATTCAGAATGCCTCTATTGGAAAGGCCAGCGACTGAGTACCTAGATACAACCTTATCCGTAGACAGCCGTCATGCAAGTGCCTCTTTTCTCCGCATCTGTGGGTTCTTGAGGTAGCAGCCAGCCTTTGTGGTTACCTAAGGTCCTACCAGAGCAGGGTATCAAGAACGGCGATCGTGACTTTGAGGTAATCACGAACTCCGATTTTTGGTGCAACTGGCCTTGAGAGGAAGGGCACTCTTCATACCACACCCACTTATCACACAAGTCAGTTTCAGACTCGTAGCATTGGTATCGGCCTCTTTATTGCACATGGTGATGCTGGGGAAGGCTTCGTAATGTGCAAATGCATCATTACAGTATTGCCTGATACAAGACAGGATAGAGTCTTGGCCCAGCATGAGAGAACCGGAATCACACAATTTAACGTAAGACTTCCAGGACTTCAAAACCTCTCAAGTTGTCACGTGGGGCACTGGCTAAAGCTGATAAACTGACAAGTACTTTTAGCAGGGGTTTTGCTATGCATGACACCACACAACCAAATACAACCAAAAGCTGACTCGAGCGTCATACGGAAAGACTCGGTAAGACCATTCACTTGATCTCGGACGACCGATGAAGGACCCTTTTACGAAAGCATATGCAATAAATAAGCAGCCAAGACTCTTCGCAAAGAGCAGAGAAACCCAAGTGTCTTGGCGCTTCGGGTTTCTGACTACGAATGCAACGCGCTACCATCTCCAAAGGCCCATGGGGCAATCATCGCCCCCAGTTCGACTACCCCCGCACTTCTTAACGCTTAGATTGGAGGATGTCAGGGTGACCTGGATGGATGTAGGCATGTCATTGGACTGACTCAAAGTGACTACCAGGGAGCGCTCCCCCCTTGACAGTTTCTCGAATCTTTTGACTCGAGTGTGAGCAGCATTTCGGCGACATCGTGGGTATAGCCGTCTGCAAGTGAGGGGAAAATTGGGTCCTTGACATGCACACAGCCTCAAGCCTGCATATGGTTGCATCTCCTCAGCACGCAGATAGAACGGACCATCAAACCCTTCTTGAGCTTCGGTGGAGAGGCTCAAGACATGATGGTTTATCCGAGTACGCCTGGGCCTATCAGCACCACCGACACTTGCCAATGGACGTCTTGGCAGTCAAGATGTTCACCGTCCACAAGAATTTGTGGCTGTTGGCAGAGTGGACCAGGAAGCCAGTTTCGCCTAGGCATGGCGTTCTAATCTAGGATTAGGCTCGCCATTATCCACCACCATCCTAGTCAGAACATGGCCGAGTATATAAGCATGAGCCCCAGGTTTTAGTCCCTTTGCCTTTGCCTTTGGCCTTTGGACCCAGCGTCACCAAGTGACCTTGCCGACTCCAGATCGAAATGATCTCCTACAATGCCCGCAACCAGAGAATAGAAGCCTGGGTCAACGCGGCTGCCGAAGAAAGCGAGGATGCCGCCCCCACAGATCCCGAAGCCCGCGACCTGCATGACCAGGAAAAGGCCCAGCGAATCGAGCACGAGGATTTGTGTCGCGACAAGAAGCAGGTAGGTCCTAGCTCCATGGAAATAAATGTGCGACGTTATGAATGAAGGTCTGACTTTCTCGTTCCGAAAAGACGTATAAGGGTGCGGTCTTATTATGGCTCGCCTGGCAAACTACCGGTGTTGTGTATGGCGACATTGGCACCAGTCCCCTTTATGTTTTCAGCTCGACTTTTAGCGAACAGCCGTCATGGCACGACCTCGTGGGAGCTCTGTCGATAATCATCTGGTCCCTCACCATCATCGTAACACTTAAATATTGTTTCATTGTCCTGTCAGCCGACGACGATGGACAAGGAGGAACCTTTGCTCTCTACTCTCTCCTTGCTCGATATGCCAACATTGCCCGCGTCGATCCCAGTGGCCCGGAAAGAATTGTTGTGCGCCTGGATCGTGAGACGGGCGCCGAACTCGCACCCGCTGGGAGAATGGCCCGGGATTTTCTGGAACGTAGTCGGGTTGCACAGAGCGTCCTCAAGATTGTTGGCGTTTTGGGCGTTTCCATGGTTGTGGCCGACAGCATTCTGACACCAGCCCAGTCCGTCTTGGGCGCCGTCCAAGGGATTCAGGTTATCAGACCTGATCTGGGAAGACCGGCTATTGTGGGGACCTCGTGTGCGATCCTCATTGCGCTTTTCTTGCTGCAGTTCATTGGCACGTCCAAAATTGGCACCTCTTTCGCTCCCGTCGTTGTTGTCTGGCTCCTCTACAACTTCTCCATCAGCATATACAATCTTGTCTTGTACGATCATACCGTACTCAAGGCATTCAGCCCACATTATGCGTTCAAATACCTAATACGAAACGATTCTGATGGATGGAAGTCTCTTGGTGGATTGCTTCTCGCTTTCACCGGCGTTGAATCACTCTTTGCAGATCTGGGTGCTTTTGGACAGCGAGCCATACAGCTTTCATGGTTGTTCCTGGCATTCCCATGCTTGTTGATCACATATTGTGGTCAAGCTGCTTATATTTCTCAGGATGAAACTGGGTTGGCTTTTACCAACCCATTCTTTCGCACTGTTCCCGAAAGCACACTGTACTTCAGTATCATTATCGCCGCACTCGCTGCTGTTGTTGCCAGCCAGGCCGTGATCACCAGCTCTTTCCAACTCATTTCTCAGTTGATGAGGCTCAGCTACTTTCCTCACATCAAGACTGTTCACACCAGCCGTCGATTCCATGACCAGATTTATATGCCACTGGCAAATTGGCTACTCATGACCGGTACTGTTGTGGTTACGGCCGTTTATAACAATGTAAGTTACCCGGCCTCATTGTGTCACTTTGGAACGGACTCGTCTGACATGACTTGAACTAGACAACGAGCTTGGGTCATGCTTATGGCGCATGTGTCATTATCGTTAGCTTTATTACAACGTGCATGGTGTCGCTAGTGGCACTCATCATCTGGCGTATCTCATCAATCGTTGTTCTCATCGGGTTCCTCATCTTCATCCTTCTCGACAGCATTTATCTTAGTGCAGCAATGAACAAGGTGCCTGACGGTGGTTGGTTTGCGCTGGTCCTGTCCGCCATCCTTAGTTCGTTCGTCATGCTTTGGCGATGGGGAAAGGAACAGCAGTGGGAAGCAGAGCAAAGGGACATGGTGGACCCGGCAGAGTTCCTCATGTCCTCTCGGAGTACCTCAAGAAACAACTCAATAGCAAGGGGAATTCAAGGTGAAGGTTCTCTGCGCTCGACGAGGCTGAGGCTTTCACCTGAGTTTGGAGGTGGACAAGTAATGGTCGCTCCAGGGCTCGGAATATTCTTCGACAAAGTGGGCGGGAGTGGTGATCACATCCCGAAGGTATTCTCGCAGTTCGTTCGGAAGTTCCAGACGAGGCCACAGGTGATCGTTTTCTTCCACATGCGCCCCCTTTCTCAGCCTACGGTTCCATCTGACCAACGGTTCGTCATTGCGCGTGTTACAACAAAAATTCCTTCATGCTATCGTATTGTTCTGCGACATGGTTACATGGATGACGTTCTCACACCGAACTTGGCGCCTACGATTGTTAACGAGTTGATGACCTTTATTACCCGAGGTCCTTTCCCACCTGATGAGAATGACATGCCACCAGAGTTTCGAGAAGAGCTTGAAGCGCTGCGGGCCGCCGAAGAAGCACAAACCGTTTATCTTATGGGCAAACAGACTATGCGGGTGCAGAGGCCAGAAAAGAGGAGTATTTCCAGTATCCTACGCCGGGTAGCACTTGAAGCATTCTTGTGGATTCGAGAGAATTCACGAACCAAGCTGGCCAATCTGGATATTGACCCCGATAGTCTGGTAGAGGTGGGCTTTGTGAAGGAAATTTAAAAACGACAACAATATTGAACACGAGATACCCGACACATGCGCAAAAAGAGTAAGGGACGATTGGGTACCAAAAGTTAGATGGACTACTATACGATTTTCGGACACAGGCGCTTTGGATTTTGGGTTCAGCTGTGAGTTTAACTGATGATGGGCTTAGTAGATGCCTCAGCTTTGCTTTGTTTTACTATACTGGGTGGGATGGGAACTCTCCGCTTACCTTAGATTTGATCATTTGCTTGTACATGGTTTCAAGGTGGAAGCGATATCGATATACCCTTAAGAGCGAATGAATCGATGATTATGTTGCATATGTTCTAGGCTAAAGACCTTAGTGATGGGCGAGATTCTATTGACTGAACTAATTTCAGAAGCATGAATCTTAACGAGAGAAGTTTAGAGACTGATAACCCCTGGTGTTGATCTTCCTATCAATCTCTGTCGTGTATTTTGCACGTGTTTCCGCGTAATTCATATGCCACTCCACACCCCGGCTGTGTTCCGCAGTGTAACAACGTGTCACCAAGCTTCACCTCAACAATACCTAGAGACCTCGCTTTGCTCTAATAGGAAGCGGAGCGCATTGTGTTGGACAATCCATAGCAGCCGCATTTCTGCTGGTAATTCTCCCAGTATCGTCTTCCATGATGCTCTCTTAACCCTCAATACGCACCGCCCAACCCATCATCGCGCACCTATCTCAAACTACTACAACGCCAGAAGCCGCCCATCATGACTACAACCATGATGACCTCACTCTCTCGCTCTGAAACACTTACACTCTCGACCGTCTCTGCAGCTGCTTTCGCGGTCCTCGCAAACACCCTCCATGGCGATGGCGAGCCTCTCATGGCATCTCTGGCCCTGTCAGTCCTCGCCTTTGCGCTCTGCTTCGCCATGATCCGCTGGCTGGGCCCTACCTTCATGCGTGCTGGCTTTCAAGGCCGCGACATGAGCAAGGCGAACCGCGCCGAGATCCCCGAGTGCATGGGCGCTGTGTGCGCTGCGGTCTATCTCCTCAGCGTCATCGTCTTCATCCCATTCCCGTTCTACAAGGACATCGTTGCGGCGACTAGTGGTGGTGGAAACCGTGATGTCGTCGTTGAGCTTCAGCACGTCAACCAGGGCCGTTTTCTACATCGCTTCCCACACAACAAGGTGCGCAGAACCCAAAGATGCATGTCATGTCTGGTGCTTTACTGACCTCGTTAGCTTGCGTCATTCCTGGGCGCCATCATCTCTCTTCAAACAATTGCACTTCTTGGTATTGGTGATGATCTCTTCGATATTCGCTGGCGGCACAAGTGGTGGATCCCCGGCCTGGCTTCGATCCCTCTTCTTGTCGTTTACTTTGTAGACTTCGACGTCACTTCTATTGTCCTACCTCTTCAGCTTCAGCCGTATCTCGGCGAGCTCGTCGATCTCGGGTTTCTCTACTATGTTTACATGGCGTGCGTTGCCATGTTCTGCCCTCAGAGCATCAACATGCTGGCAGGCATAAACGGCATTGAAGTCTCGCAATGCATCGTCATCGCTTTTCTCCTCGTCTTCAACGATTGCCTGTACCTCTTTACGCCATATCCTCACCCTGCTACCGACTCGCACTTGTTCTCACTCTACTTCCTCCTCCCGTGGATCGGCGTCTCGTTCGCCTTGCTCCTCCACAACTGGTATCCTGCCAAGGTGTTTGTTGGTGATACCTACTGCTACTTCTCGGGTATGGTTTTTGCTGTCGTCGGTATCCTCGGCCACTTTTCAAAGACTCTCGGGCTCCTCCTTGTCCCTCAAATATTTAACTTCCTCTACTCATGCCCTCAGGTCTTCGGTCTGATTCCCTGCCCACGCCACCGACTTCCTCACTTCAACGCCCGGTCTGGCCTCATGGAGCCGTCTGTGACTCCTTGGTCACCCGAGCGTCAACCCCACCCCTTGGTCGCCCAAGGCCTGCACTTTCTCAACAGACTACGCCTGGTAAAGGTGACAACCGATGAAAAGGGTCAATTTGTCGAGACAAGCAACTTTACCATCCTCAACCTCTGGCTTGTCTGGCGTGGACCACTCCGCGAAGATCGATTGGCCTTTGAGATTACTATGCTTCAGCTTGTTGCTGGTTTCTTTGGACTGTTTGTGAGACATCGTCTCGCACTGTTGGTCTTTAAGGAAGATAACTGGGGGACTGCTGCGCAATATTAACAGAGAGAAAGGGTTTGCGCCTTTCTCAGAGCCACAACCGTACCGCCTATCCAGATAGAATATCATTCCACTGGTTGGAAAGTTTATGATTTAGAATAATACCCCGATGTCACGGAATGAATGTCGCCTACTGTGAAAATCATCTTGTCCTTTGGTTCACCATGTTATAAGAGATTGCAGTTCAAGATGGCCGTTGAATCTTTCAAGGGGTGTATTTCCCATCATTCAGGGCAATGCGACATGACTATGGTGAGTACGTGCAAGTAGGGTTGACGCCTATAATTACATACAACGATTCCTTCAGCATCTTTCCGTAAGAGATTTACTCCATCCTACTCTTCACTTGTTTTGTTTCATGGCCAACCCTCTTCAACTGGACATCAATCAAAAAACATCCCGAAAAAGGACCACATAACATCTCTGCTTTTTCTCCCTCAGGAGAAATCCCATTGACCCGTAGGCACCAAACCTGGTGCGCCGTTCCCATATTTAGATGCCAGGGTTCAATTGACAGAACCCTTCAATCCCAGCATCCGTAATCCCACAACCTCCCCAAACGCCAAATCAAAGGGGTAATCATCTGACGTACCAGCCAGTGTATATAAAGGAAAGAACTCCAGGCTTTTGATCCCGTCATCCCCAATCCCAAACAAAACAACAAAGAAAATCTTGAAACGGTTGACACATTAAACGTACAGACACTTCATCCTTTTATGAAGACCCATTGGCAGCGGCTACGGGAGCCATGATCACAGTCTCCGCCGGCTTCTCAATCGATGGGGAATCGACGATGATATCAACCTTGGTGTCCTCAGGGCTCGAGATAGAAGGCTTGAGAACGGCATGCCCTCCAGCTGTTCTCCCGGCAGCCTTGTTCATCCGGCTTTTGGTGTAGTCGCTGAGACTCAGCTTCTTCTTTACAGGACTAGGGTGGGTACCAATGCCGTTGACAGCCGGCGGAGCGAATGGACTTGGCAATGGACCTGAAAGGGGGGAGTGACCGACACCGCCAGACTTTGGCGTTGTTGCGTTGTGAATCCCTAGTCCTGTACTGTCGAACGCTGGCACAGGAGGTAGTTGCACGCGTAGGTCGGGAGTCTTTGTCTTGGTCGATGTGTCACTCGCAGCCGATCCTAGTACAGGAGTCGTTATTAGTGAAGAGGCATCTGCCATATGTGTATCTCCCGGTGCAGAAAATAAAGGTGGTAATTCTGAATCCGATCGCTTGATGACTACCTCGTGCTCCAGAGGCGAGTCAACTTCCATGATGGTACCATTGGATACCTGGCTGACAGATGATCGCCTGCGCAGATCCTCTCCTTCAGTTCGGACTTGATGGCGGCTATTTAGTAGTCGCTTCGAGAGCGAAATGATCCGCTTCTTGGGACGAGGTGATTGATTTGGTCCACTAAACCAGGCGCCCTCGACAGGGTCCGTCTGTATCGCTGCATCACAGTATACTCCCCTGGGAGAAGCCGATGATTGGCGTGATGGAGTCGCCGCGGAGTCTTGATTGGAGATTGACAGCCTTTGTTGGATATGCGGAGAAGAGCTAGCAGGGGATCCTGAGTGGCTTCTGCAAGTCCCAGCATCGACGTAGTTGCCATGAGACGCAACTGAGCCATTGCGATGCTTCGACTTCGAGGATGTTGAGCCAGTACCATCCGATACTCGCTTCTTCTTCCGTGACGGTTGTTGCTGCTCCATTCGACGGAATGAATCCTCAACCATGGCAACCTTCCGCTTGTCTCGATCCGTTGGCTCAGTCAGTATGCCTAATTGGTCGAAAGATCCTTGGCGAAGAGGTGTAAGGTCACGACTCGGTGGTTTGCTTCGCGTAGACTCAGATTGGGATCTATTGTCGTGATCCCCAGCATCGTCAACATGGCCTTCACTCGTGGCTCGACTGGTGGCAGTCTGCCCCGTGTTTGTTGGGGAGATGGCTTGTGTTTTCGGCTTTCTTGGCTTCTTTTTTGCTGGCGCGCGTCCTTGGGGTTTGCCGAAGAGATACTGACGGTGAAATCGTGCGAATGCACAGTTGTTATCCAGATCGCACGCGCACCCGCCGTATTCGGAGAGAATTCGATCTATCCAATTCGATATTGCCATGTATTCTGTCCCATCTACCGGAGTTTCCGTATTGTTGGTCGAGTCATCGTCACTTAGGCCAAGAAGATGAAGCCATCGCGTATCCACACTCTTCTCCAGCCGGAAATCCCAGGGCAAAGTGATTTGCTCGTTGGCGGAGATATATCTGTCGCTAACGATCCAGAAATGGTATTCGCTTTCATCGGAAAGATACGTATCAAGCTGAGCATTGGGCTTGCAACTCCTGCGGACATAACGAGCAAGAGAGCCCTCTTGCCTTGTATCGATGTACAAAGGTAGGACAGGGTGAAAAAAGACAAACGGGAGAGGGGAAGATAAATCTGCCCAGAGGTTGACAGGGTCAGCACAGTAGTCCTTTTGAAACCCAATTTCACCATTCAGCTCAACAAGAGGTACATCCTTCTCGATTGGTGTACTTGATTTGAGAAACCTCCACCTGAGAGCTTTGCCATCGTCCAGTGTTCGTGTTGCATCACTGACTTCAAGCTTAGGCTTGTTGGCTTCCAGGTTTGAGGGTGCCTTCTGGAATACTTCCGAATGGCGTCTGCCAACTTCACTCCGCATCGTATTGGGTTCGCGAAGCCAGCGAGATAGCGCAGTGGGAATAGCAAGACTGGCAAAAGCATTGTTCCGTGACTCGGGGACATCCCTGGCATTATATAAGTCGTAGAACTTTTCAGAGTAATGATGGATTTGAAAATCATCAGGAAGGTCGGGAGGGGTAGTTGCAGGGCTGGGAGGGTGGGCAGTATTTGATCGGCCATTTCCGTATGAAGGGCTCCGTTTGGGAGCCTGAGAACTGACAGACTGTGATGAGCGATGCTTCGCCTTTTTGGGAGGATGATGATGATCTCCGGAATGACCATGTTTTCCATTTTCCTGTGGACTCGTATGGCCATTTATTGGTAGCTCGGTAGGTCTCGATCTCTTCTTATGGCTTTTGGAAGGTGGTCTTTTTGTTCTTTTATCGGTACGCTCGTCCGTCGTTCCATTTATTAAGCGTAGTGTACGATCAAAAGCCTTTTGACGATCGAGAGGGCGCGGTTTGCATTCTGCACACGAGTGTGCAAAATCTTCGCGCACAGCTTCCTCTCGATTGTCAGGGTAAAAGCAGTCGATGTGCTGCCACGAATCACATGACTCGCAATAAATCGTGTTTCCATCATCGACAGAGAAGGTACATATACACTTGATAGTATATGGCTCTTCTTCCGCTCCCTCAGTCAGTTGGGCAACTTCGTCTTTGGGCGTTGCGCCCGGAAGAGCAAGAGGGGCGATCTGACTAGGAGTCGCAGACTGCGTGGACAGCGGCGCTGGTCTGTCGGTCATAATCTGTGCTAGAGATAATGTAGTGAACACCTGAGGGGAGTATGTGTCTAATCTACTGTCGCGGTCTTTGGAGCATGACGACGCCGTTCAGATGGCGCGTCGGGGAGACCGTAAGAAGGAGTCGAAAACCAGAGTGGTTTAAGGAAGTCTCATTCGGCAGGACAAGGGTGGATCGTATTCCGACCGCAGAAATCGCAATCGTCTAACAAGAGACTCGAGGCAGGTCGAGACGTCGACACAAAGGGTGGAGGGTCAGCGGCGCGACAACGGGAAAAACAAAGTCAACAGTCGTGATCAAGTCGACAAGAAGATGTCGAATATGAAGCGTAGACGCGAGTCGGAGGCGTGTTGGGGACACGGTCGGTCGGTTTGTGTTTTCGCAAAACTCGTTGTGATCGGTCACGGCAGGGTTGAGACGAGTTGAGGTCGAGGTGTCGAGCGCGGACAAGACGAAGATTAAATGTGTAGGTGGCGAAATTCGATGGGGAAATCAAGAGAAATAAGATTTGAGACTACTCAAACACAATCCATACACAAGGAGCGCTTGAAGCAGAATGGAGATAACGAGAGGTGAGGATTGAAGATCGTGGACTGCACGAAGAAGGGTGGGTGATGGGAAGAAAGAGGATGGGGAGGAGCGACAAGCCCGGGAGTGCTTCAAGACAAGTGCGGTACTGGTGCTGGTGCTCACTGGTGGTAGGCTGGGCTGGTACTGGTACTGAGGTACCGGCCTGGGACCTGCCTGGGGTTCCATTTCCAGTTGGCTAAGAGGGGGAGGAGAGCACCTCAGGTAATGGAAGGGCAGAAGACAAGAGTACGTACCTCTGGTATCTTCACCTCATCAGCGGCTCACGCTTCCCGTCTCATTCTCTTGATGGCTCCCACTCAATCTCAGCGCGCAGAAGCAGCAGCGATAGCATAAGAGGGTGCCAAAAATTGAATGGGCCACTGGGCCGTTTTTGGTATCCTCTCCTGGTGCTTCTGGGCTGGATTGGGCAGAAGTTCCTGAGAAGGAAGTGTGCGAGTGAGGGAACGGGGACACTCCCACTCCAGCGACAGTGGCCCCCCAAAGAAAAGACAAGACAGAGAGACATGGAAGAGAAGAGACGAGACAATAACCAAAATTTGGCGCTAGACCAAACCTTGACTGGCGGTGGATAAGGAGAACTCTTAGTGCAGGAAACAGGGCACGCAGGGCGCATTGTTGGCCTGAGGCACTAACAATAAATATTGTCCCGCTGCCGCTGCGCCTGAGCACAGGGCTAAGGAGGGGGGAAGGAAACTCAAGAGAGCGGAGGGGAGAGGGTTTCTGCTGGAAATTGCGTACGGCGAGTTTTTGTTGGCGTTGGCGTAGCCAGCCAGGGGCTTGTTTGTCACTGAGTGAGTCCGTTGAGACTCGAGTATCGTTTGAGATAGCATGTGTGAGGGGAACGGGGATGGAAACAAGACAAAGACAAGAAAGCCATGTCTCTCGAGTCTATCGAGTCTGCTTTGCTATGCTTTCTGCTTTGCTTTTGGTGATGGGCCGACACTAGGAGTTGAGCACTTCGGTATGAACGGGAAGCGAAGGAGTCGGGAGGGGCTTCATCAGATTTTCAAAGGCAAAATGACGACGGCCACTTTCAGGGAATCAGGCACGTAACCTGAGCACCTCTCAGAGCCAGTCGAAGGCAATAAACAACAGATGACAGCTGAAGCTGGGTTAGCTAGCCCCAAGAAATGGCTGTGGTTGGCGGGCTTGCAGTGGAGATGAGTGGGGTATCTGAAATTTGGCACCCGCCACAAATAACCTGCGCTTGGTGAAACGAGACACCATTCATTCTAAGTTAGTGTTAAGCTAACCTGAGGCCGCCGAGGTAAGTCCCAGGAAGGGGAGGGAAATACCGTGTGCCTAGGTTGTATTTTTTATTTAATGTGAGTGTTGTTCGCCGCGTAGAGATTTGCTTGAGATGAGAAGAATGAGATAGATCAGTAGAAGAAGCTTGGCCACTCGATGCGAGTGCAATACATCATGATCTTAGCCACGAAATTCACTACCAAATCTTGATGAACAATATCGAAATCTGGACCAGACTGCTTTAACGAAGATGTAATCAAATGGAAAGAGTCTAGCTTACTAGCACAGTGCGGTATACCAGATATTTAATTCGCACTGTATGCGAGGACAGTGCTCGACAAGGACGACATATCCTTGTTGCTTCGACTGGCTTGTTTCGCAGGGAGCAGGCTTGGTACCAATCGGGCTTTCTACCTCCAAACCAATCAATGCGGGCTGTTCCAAGTTCATTACTACATTCTGCATGCGAATCTGTGTTAGGAGCCTGTGAAAGATTCCATGATAAACAGAAGTGTGGTGCAAGCTGACTGCGTGATAATGATGATACTCGTCGCGTCATCACCATCGTGCAAATTGCTTGGTGCAAGGAGCGACGATTGCGTTGCATTTTGTAAAAGGTAACATTTAAACAGGAAGCCCGAGATGCAAAAAGACTCCTTACAATCAATGAAGGGCGTGAACAAGAGAGTATCTGTTTTAATCACACTAAACTTGTCTGAAAACACCTATCGAGAACCCATGAGTTTTATGCCTTCTTACAATCCTCTAGAGCACCTCAACAGGAACCAAACACGTACATTCAAAGACGGGCCTTCCCAGAGACGCCGACGTCCTCGTCCCACGGTCTGTTCAGGATATCTACGGATATGTGCAACAAGTTTCCATCACTATCGTGTCGTGTCTGTCTCGCGATGCTGCCCGTATTCGCACCCATGCTTGGCTGACCAGGGCATGGAAATGGCCTGTGTATGTATAAGATCCGAGTGCAACGCTGAACTGCTGCAAATACAAATATCCGTTTTACAGAGCGCCGCCTAGGTAGGTATCTTCCATTTTCCTGTGACCGTTTTCTTCGAACTCGACAGCTCGAGTCTTTGGTAAATGGTGGCATTCAACGCGAAGCATGCACCGACAGCCAAAGGTGACTTCCTTCCTCTGAACTGGCAGACCCTCGCTGCCCCCCTGGCCCCGTCGTGACGAAACCTTAGCCTCAAAGACTCGCACCTATGGAAGTGGGGAAAGTTGCACCAGAGGTAACACAACATCAGGGAGCAAGAAAACTTCAAGCCTTGACCTGTGATGCCAAAATTCACCAATCCAAAGACTCGTTTAAGCCTCTGCTAAATTGGCCTAATATATTTGTCACCCATGGTATACGTCCCGAGTTTTCTTGTGTTCCCTCGGCATGGTACACACAGTGTGATATCAAGTGACGAATATCGACTCGCGGGCAGGGGTTGACCTATCGGCAAAGGCCAGCATGAAAATACGCATTGTCCAAACATGGAAATGCCATTGAAGCTCCTGCTGAGCTATACATACGCCAAAAACCAATAGCAACACCAGGCGACCAACCCAGAACCGGTGCGTCTCACCGTGACCCAACTGGTGAGGTCCTTCTTGTGGTATGTCGCTGTGACATACCATAATGATTCTGACACCCTTCCTAATTCCCAACAGGAACCAGCCAGCAAGCGCGGTAGATGTCAGATGCAAGAGCAACCGCATTTACAATTTCATAGCAAATTTCACATATTCCTTCTTCATGCCCGCCGCAAGCAGCAGATCACAATGAAAGATGGTGATAAATCAAAAATTCCGCCCCCTATGGTCCCGAAGGACAATAGAGAGTAGAGTGACTCCGCGGGTGTGCAATGCAGGCCCTCCACACTAGAAAGGCCAATTCTTGAGCTGGCTTTCCTGAGGCAAGGTAAGTATGAAGAGTTCAAAACAGGTTGGAAGAAAAGCACGATTATATACCAAGGTCCGAGCATGGCCCGTGCACGAGGCTTCGACTTTTGTGCCTCAGGTTGAATGTCGGTCAGCAGCGCTAAGTTTGAATGGCTCCATGTGATTGGAAAGTGAGGAGGCTGGGCTTGCAAGTCGACATGATGAATGTTCCACCTCCGCAAACTTGAGACAGGAACCTGCATGAGAATGAGCATGAGGCAGGTAGGTAGCTTTTGACTCTCATGATATTGCAAAATGATTGTTAACTCAAAGCCAATAATTTATACGCTTTCTTTGGCTGCCATACAAACTCATTTCGTCAATTATAATAATGGCTTTCATGCTCGAGGCTTGATTCAATCATTTGGTTCTAGACTCTTGGCTCCATGATAAGGTAAGGTACGTAGCTTCTTGGTGCACTCGGATGCCGCCCGCGATCATCTGCAAGGCGGTAAGGCATCAATTCCCAGCCGCTCTCGGCCAGTCGTTGGACCAAAAAGTGGAGGATAAGTCCCATGACGCACTCAACACTAAGCCACTCGCCATCACCAATCTGCCCTGATAACGACTCTCTCATCATCTTCACACGACTTCCATCATCTAATTACTGCTTCGTATTATTTTCGCAAACATCACCATATCCCACAGCCCATCAAATTTCGCGAGATAACACCGTGCGATGAGATTCTCTACCGTCACCGCATGTCTGACGGCATGCCTGGCCCCAGCGGCTGCTCTGAGCGTTCTCAATGGCAAGGCTCCCGATGTTACTATCAGCGACGACCTCAAGATTCCCGGCGACTCTCCCCTCGAACTGTGCCCCGGAGACCATACTGCCGACCTGATCAGGATTGACAAGGTCGACCTTGCTCCTAACCCTCCCAAAGCGTACGATTCACCTGCTTATACTTGCACAACCATGAGATACTAACATCTTGATAGTGGCCAGGAACTCTTGATCAAGGCTAAGGGAATAGTCAAGCAGAAGATTGAGCAGGACGCTTATGTTCTTCTGACTGTCAAGTATGGACTTATTCGCCTTATTAGCACCAAGGCCGATCTGTGCGAGCAGATTGGCAATGTCGACCTGAAGTGTCCCGTCGAGGCTGGTGAAGTCGAGATCACCAAGACTGTAGACCTTCCTGCCGAGATCCCTCCGGTATGTAAATAACCCTTGCTTTTCCCATGCCTGTTTCTAACTCGCTCCAGGGCAAATATACTGTTCTGGCCGACGTCTTCACCGCCGATGATGTCCAAATTACCTGCCTCACGGCAACTGTCACTTTCTCTCGTAGCAGCAAGGGCTTTTTCGGCAGCGATCTGTAATTGGGACTACGGCGCATTCATAACATACACATGATGGCATGACTTATCGTTGGGCACGTTCTCATGGGGTTCTCGGTTAACGTTTGGTTTGGCGAATCTTCTAGCTCTTCTCGAGCAACCTGCAGCGGCTTTAAATCTATTTAGCATATCTGATAATGAGTCCATTGCATCGTACTCTACCCTGCATCTGTGTAATAGGAACTGCCCTGCACAACATGAAGTCGAAGAAGAAGAAAAAACGCAATGCTGGCCTCAAATCATGTACGGCCATGCTCACTGCTGCCTCTATACCATGCTCGCTCCATTATCCCGAAACAAATCCTTGCGCCCAGTGAAACGACGTCCCCTACTCTCCAAAAAGGCGTCGCACTCGTCTCAATACACTATCCTTCTCAGGGTCGTAGGGGTGGTCTTTGCTTGGGATCTCCAACACAGCAGGGAAAGCCGCGGTATAGGTGTCAATGCGATGTCGGATTCGGTCGGCGATCTTCAGGAGAGTTAGTTCAGCGGCAAAAAGAATCGGAACGTTGTCTAACATGTTGATTGATGAGTACGATGCCAATATCTTTGCGATCCTCAGTGAATCGATCAAACGCGGCCTCAATAGCAGCTGTGTCGGTCTTGCCATCAACAACGAGGAAGTTCTTCTGAGCATCGGCGCCTGTAGTCACATGCTGTTAAATAGAGTTAGCCTGTGTAGAGAAACTGAGCAGTGATTGAGACTCACGCCGATACCCGCGAGAAGCAGGCCTGTTACGGAGTCCTAGATGAGAGCTACGTCAGCGCAAGCTTTCGAACAAAGAGCCTTTCATTGCAGCACATACTTCGTCGCCGATGACCGCGAGGAATTGACGGTCCTTGTAATCTGCTTGCGAGGCCATCTTGATGAATGTGGACTTGTGTTTACGCGTCCCTCTTGTTGGTGTTGATGGCGCTGAGTTGATGATTGGAGTTACAACTACGAGGAGGTCGGCGCCTGAAGTTCCGCTCCGCCTGGGAACCTGGAAGCTCTGACCATTGCGAGTAAGGTAAGGTACTGATTGATCCCCACGTCAGGTGGATGCTGCAGCCTCCACTGGGTTTCTACTGGTCAGCTTCAGGCAGGTACTGTACTACTACCTAAGTGAACAAAGAATTGGCCTGGTCCTTAGCAACAGTGGGCTCAAAGTAAACAACATCCGGCCAAGTAGCCGTCTTTTCTTTCTTTATTACTTTTGTGCCGACTCGCGACTCTCCTCCCTGGTATTGCGATCGCGAATACGCAATTTCAAAGGAGTCAATACCCTGCAGTGTGCTCAACATGCCACGCCTAGTTCGCCGGCAGCCGCTCAGAGAGCGTATCATGGCTGCAATCAACCCCATGGACTTTTTGCTTTGGCTATCCGAAGAACTGGAAACGAGAGATTGGGATTCAGCTTCTGTTGGAACACAAATGGGCCTTGCCATGAACTTCGTCTTCTTACTTGCGCGCGCGAATTCAGGATCATCAACCCCAAGTGACGACATTTTCAGTGATGAAACCAGTTCAGGGTGGCTATCATTCTTGGTAAGTTCTCGTCTTCTTAGACTGCTGCATATCATATCGAGGCTAACCACATATATTGTAAAGGTCCATCCGCTGGTATGGGCCCTCATAGCTTTCTCTTTCACCAATGCTTTCTACACGATTACGCGAACGCGCAAGTACCGACTCTTTCTGGCCAAGGTCGACAAGCCGCTTTCGACGCCTTCTGCGCGACGTGTGAAAGTGAACCAATCGAGCGCATCGCCTTCGACGCCCCTGAGCTATCTCGCGAATCTGATAACACCAGAATCTGCCGAGTCGCGAGCCCACCCAGACAAGACATCAGATGTTTGGGAGCTGTCAGTCTGGGATCCTCTGCCAGTGTCCTTGCGCCTGGCTTGTCTCTTTGGCCCTGGACATGTTTTGGTGTACATGATCTTCCTTCCTCTAGCTCCTCTCGATCCCCGACCAAGTGTGACGGTTCTGAATACACTCGTTCTGCAGGCCCTTATTTCTGCTCAGCTTCTCTTCTTCTGTTCTCGATTTGCGCAACAAGCAAAGGATAAGGCCGTGATTCAGGAGCAAGTAATGAAAGAGTACGATACCAAATTTGTCCACCCCCGTCTTCACCCTACGGTGCGCGATATCGGCACACAGTTCTCGACAGACCAGCCCGACGACTATCAGGAATTTGTGCAGACTGGGACCCCTACAGTTCAGATCCGTCATGGTTTCCAGGTCCACTCTAACCCATACACTGGAACGAATCATACCCCTGAGGAACGATCCCTCACCCCAACCTCCAACAACGTAATGAAGCCTCACATGTTCACGCCTCCCACAGCAACTCGACGCTCGGAAGCTTTGAGACCCGTTACCAGCCAGAGAGGCACCGTGCCTCGTCATAGTTTGCCTGCAGGCTACACATCAACTGGGACATCTTCGGGAGTTCAGGGAATGAACTTTGGTGGAAACATGGGCATCCACACCCATAACAAGTCACCCCTCAAGAAGGCCACCAGTCTTAATGAACTCAATCCCCAGGAAGCAGCATCTCCGCGTAATTCTCGAGAAATGGCAGCCTACGAGCAACGAAACTGGGGAGCAACAACACCATCGAAAAAGCTTGAGAGTCGTCGGCTAACAGGTTCAAGACCTAATGGAGGCGGCAACCCCTTTGCTGGATTGGGTCGGCAACAAGCACCCTCGGATAATCGTCATCCGCGATGGTAGCTTTCCAATTATTATCTTGTTTATTAACACATTTAACCGCATCGAAACTGAGTGTAGCCTCGGATAGCAAGGATTGGCGTTAAGATCTGGCTTCTGAATAAATACCATGGAACACCCTGAATCCCCTTAACCTATCTCCATCGTCAGCTTGTATTTGATGATTTATGCCTGCTCTGATACTGTCATGATTCGTTATTATGTTTTAAGCATCAAGGGATATCGGAAACGATGGCAGGTGGGAGAATTGGATGCATTCGTTGTGGTTTCCCTTGAAATATCGTTGTGGTATATACGAGGAAGGCGAAGTTGATGGCTTCTCGGGATCCATGCCCATGGTTCACTTGATGTGACGGATCTTTTCTTCGACAATCACTCCTGATCCTCGTATCCATAACTGCTGTCTATACCTAGCGCCTCTCATCTCGCAAGTTCGAAAATATTACAATCACTAATCACCCCCTTTTACCATACTATCGTTAATCAACGGCTAAAAAATCAACAAGAGTAGAGTTACTTATCAGCGACGCGATTGCTTGCACCTAGATATGTCTGAGAAACCACATTGGTCATCAATACGCCGCAGGGCAGCATTGTCTGACCATCCTTCCCTGCCTTCACGTCCACAGACTCTTCCTCAACACATGGATGATTCCGAGAGAAGACTAACACTTGGAGATTTGGGTATACTAGCTAAGGAGAGACAGGAACCTACTCGGAGTGCCACATTAGGGGATGTGGGAGATTGGTTCAGGAACAAGCTTCCAAGTCATCGTGCAGAGAGAGGAGGAACATTGAGAAACAACGGGGGTTGGGAAATCGGAGAGGCTGCTGGCAATTCTTCATCTCAACTTCAACACAAAGTCAACAATCGAGCATCAGCACAGCATAACTCTGCCTCAAATCGCCGAGGGGGTCAACGCAGCAGAACCGGGGGTTCAGATCGCCTTGTGGATTGGAACACACCGAAAAACCTAAGTGAAGCAGTGTCTGAACCAACGTCCGCATCTAAAGACAAAGGGAATGAGCCTTCACTGCCGACTTATCGCAGATGGAATGAATTCGGTTCCCTGAGAATAGGCAAGAAGCGCGGTCAGAAGAAACGGAGTGACAGTATAGAAGCCGAGAAGGATAAAGAAAAGCAACCCATAAGGCGCTCTTCCAGAGCTCAGTCCTTTGCGGCAGTCATTCAAGGAACGCCTAGCATATTGGAAGTTCTAGAAGCCAATCGAAAGGCAAGGAGAAAAGCACGAGAGGACCGGGAAAGTTTGAGAGAGAGTGGAGATTACCTGGGAGTTCAAGGTATCAATCCGCAGACGGGTATTCTTGATCTTACATCGGACAGTGGAGAGAGTACGCTGAGCTCGAAAACGGAACAAAAGCTACTGAACCTGGAGGCACAGGCTAAGAACGCTTTATCGGCTGCCGAAAGAAAGGAGGCCGAGATCGAAATCGTCAAGATACATCTCGATCACGAAGTCGAGAAAGCACGACGACAAGAGAAAGCAGAGAAACAACTGGCAGCTTCTGCCACTGCCAAATGGCGAAGGGGGACACACCAGTGGTCATCAGTTCAGGAGCCTGATTTGAGCCCGATTGCCCAATCACGCAGAAGTACTTCAGTGTTGTCAAGTTAGTATTCTAATCTATGCCACCTTCGCCTTGACACATCCAACTAAATCCGTCTTTCGATTTAGGGGGCCCGTCACGCCGAGACTTAGCTATGGCAAAGGAGGAAGGGCTGATCGACTTAGACCTTCCTGTTCTTCACAATAACTCAAAGGAGCCGTCCGATGAAGAAGTCCCGCCTGATGTACAACCCAAGGAAAGCTCCAACTCATCTGACACAGTGATCAAAACCCCTCATAGACGCAGCCTGGCAAACCCGTCTCCTTCAGCCTTGGAGCTTTTCGAGAATGACATAAGTTTCCATAACCCAAGTGAGCACAGGCTAGGCAGAGATCAGATCCCAGAGTCTTTCCTTGCATCCGCGCACGATGATACACAGATACAAACGGCTTTGGACGAGACACAACATCTGCATGGGAACGAGAAGTTCCACGAGGCGGGCGGATCACTGGCGCACCACAGAGACCAAAACCAACACTCCAGTTCTTTTTTAGAGAAGGGCCTAGGAGGGGCAATAGAACCAGGAGGAACCCAGAGACCTCGAGTGTCAATCAGCAAGGACTCTTTGTCGGATCTCTCGATGAAACCAAACCTCACAACATCCAGCACCAACCACTTACTAGTGAAGAGCAAGATCGAGATACGAAGCCAACACGAGAACATTCCAGAAAGCTACGTGCAAGATTTGACGACCACCCACGAGAAATCCACTACCCTCCCGACAACAGTGGAACAGTCCGCGTCAAGTTCCCCAGAAAGCCAGTGCCAACACACTCCAGTCTCGACATACCATCAGCAAGTCCTGACAGGACGTGTATAGAACCCGCACCTAACAGGAAGCCCAAAGATACGGTCCAGTTGGGAGCAAGAGGCACTGAACAGTTCAACGCCGTCTCCAACAGTCCTACTGCTCCGGCGACGAACATTGAAAGCTGGGATCACAAGCGGCCCACTGCCCCAGAACGAGGCAAAGCGGTCAGCAACTCGAGATCCCCTCACCGCTCCTCCATTTCTCTCGAAGGAAGCGACAGTCAAAGAGAAGCTGCAATATCCACCCACAACCACCAGGGAAATAACACAAACAAACCACCAGATAATCAGAGGGACTCTTCCCCAATCCTTACATCAAGTCCACACGAAACCCGTGACCAAGGATCAAATAACCGAGCGGGTTTGGACGCAGAGCGCGAATCACGACATCACGAATAGGTGCGAAGTCAAGGGGGCGTCTGCATCCACAAACATCACCATCATTACTGGGTGCGACCAGATAACATCGAAATACCCCCCGCAGAGAGGTCAAGAGGCCGGAGAGGGCCTACAGCGCAAGCGCAGGCTAAGTCGGGTAATCCACAACCTGAGGAGATTTGGCACAACGCCAAACAGCTTGGAAGCTTCCCCAGAGAATCGTGGACTGAGTACATTGCTGAAATCGGCGTCCGTGGAAGAGATTCAAGTGATCGATACTATATCGGAGAGTCTTCTCGAGGAGTCGAGAAATCAACCACAGGCACAAGGGTGCGACACCATGGGGGAACTATCAGAGGTACCAGCAACGCAGGGCCGATGCAGCAGTTCGTCAACATCCACTTGCACAATGGACGTCAAAAACATCGAAAAGGGGGAGAACACGGAGAACATTCCTCAGAAAGCCAGCATTCAACTGAGCAATCTGGATCTTCTATCTCAAATATATATGCCAGGAGTCAGCAATCGAGCAACGGATCCGGGGATGCACGTGCCAGGCAGTCTTCCAAGACAATGGAACGCCGAAGACGGCATCGCAGATCTTTCCAGTAATAGATCTCAGCAGGGTGTGACGGGAGGATTGTGGGATGCTATCAAGGAGTTTCTGTGTACGATCAAGGGGTACAACATACAGCTTTTGAGATTGTACTGGAAGGCGGTGAAGCCTGTCTTTGATTACAGTTCCCCGTACTGGAGAGCTACAGATCGAGACAGCGATGGCTGGACAGATTTGGCGAGTACTTGTCTCGCATTACCCCTTATATTCGGGTTGTTGGTAATATTAGTATGGGGTATGGAGTTAACGGCAATCACAATGAAGTGCAGGGAAGAGGACTGGGATTGCTTGGTTGACGAGGCACTGGCGATGTTTCGGCGGAGCTTGACCGGAGTCTACATGGACGACTAGGTACACAACGGCCGGGCGGATACCCGGGAAAGGACCGGTGCCGGAGACAACATAGCCCGGGGCAAGCCGCACGCCGATGGCGGATGCGGAGGGAGGTAAAAATAGATGATACATAGTACGTCTTTACGATACAGAATAAATACCCTGATTATCGCATGGTTAATTCTGAAATTGATTGTCCGGTCCACTTTGTATTGATTCTCCAATGTCTCAAGTTGTGTTGGCTTTCCGTACCCATAAGGCTCATGTTCAGGTAACACTGTGTAAGAGTCAACCGAAATCTGGTGCTATTAGCTAATTTGCAAATGTCTAAAACTCGGCATTGAGTGAGGCAAGTCAATTGATGTCGTAATTAGACCAGGGTAAAGCCGTGGAGTTTGGAAAGGGACCAAAACTGAATGGCAATCGGAGGTCTTGGACTTTTGACATCGGAGGTTGAAAAAGCGGCGATCAACGAGCAACCAATAGTAACCAATTATTTAGCAATCAGTGCAGGAGGCAGCTGTGGGTCTACCCCGCGCTGGCGCCCGTCCTGGGGCTTCTGGCCTCTTGGTGAGCTCCAATTGCTGACGGCCGCAAACGGACCCCTCCGATCATCGGCGCCTTCGTACCAATTCTATGAAGCTCGTGGAATTGGGTAGGAGAGGGGCGCTCAGATGAAATTTTGTTGATAAACCCCAGAAGGAGACGCCTGTTTCCTAGGTAATTCCAGTCCAATTCCTGACTTCTTCTTTCTTCAGCTGCATCATTTCCTCTGTTCCCCTGTTTGAAGCGGAGTGTTATAGCTTCCTCTCGTCACCTTCACAACTCCATCAACTCTGCCCTCTTCTTCTATAACCAACTCCGTACCTTCTCACCCCGCATTCGTGATATCTCCTGTCCACGAGAGTCATAACTCACTCCGTGTCTTCAGTACTATTTCAAAGTCATCAACTCAGGGTGGTCATAACATCAAAATGCCTGCTCCCGTGGGTAACCCCCAGACCCTCTACGATAAGGTGTTCTCAGCACATATCGTCGACGAAAAGCTCGATGGCACAATTCTTCTCTATATCGGTACGTTTCTATGTGTTTAATTCTGCTTATGGGCAGTGAACTGATGAAGTTGGCCAAAAGACCGGCACTTGGTCCATGAGGTGACATCACCAGTAAGTTTAACTTCCCCAAAGCATCGACGTCATGTTCCGAACATCCGCTAACCAATTACCAACAGCAAGCCTTCGAGGGTCTCGAAAATGCAGGCCGCAAAGTCCGAAGACCTGATTGCACTCTCGCAACCACTGATCACGTATGCATTGCCAATCAACTGAAAACTACTGTAAATGGTGGTCAACAGAGCATTTACTAACCCTGGACCCTGCAGAATGTCCCCACCACATCCCGCAAAGCCCTGAAGGACATTGCTTCATTCATCGAGGAGGACGATTCGCGAACACAGTGTGTCACTCTGGAGGAGAATGTCAAAAAGTTTGGTGTCACATATTTCGGCCTGGGCGACAAACGACAAGGTATTGTCCACATCATTGGCCCCGAGCAGGGCTTCACTCTCCCCGGAACCACCGTCGTGTGCGGTGACAGCCATACCTCAACACATGGCGCCTTCGGTGCCCTTGCCTTTGGTATCGGTACTAGCGAGGTTGAGCATGTCTTGGCCACTCAGTGCCTCATTACCAAGCGCAGCAAGAACATGAGGATACAGATTGACGGTGAGCTGGCCCCTGGCGTCAGTTCCAAGGACGTCGTCCTCCACGCCATCGGCAGGATCGGAACTGCCGGAGGTACCGGCGCCGTCATTGAGTTTTGCGGGTCTGTTATCCGTAACCTGAGCATGGAGGCTCGCATGTCCATCTGCAACATGTCCATCGAGGGTGGTGCCCGCGCTGGTATGGTTGCCCCTGATGAGATCACCTTTGAATATCTCAAGGGACGCCCCCTGGCCCCCAAGTATGGCTCCGAGACCTGGAACCAGGCTGTTGCCTACTGGAAGTCTCTTCAGTCTGATCCTGGCGCCAAATACGATATTGATGTCTTTATTGACGCCAAGGACATCATTCCCACCATTACTTGGGGAACCAGCCCTGAGGATGTCGTTCCCATCACCGGATGTGTCCCTGACCCTGAGACCTTCAGCAGTGAGAGCAAGAAGGCTGCTGGCCGCCGCATGCTGGAGTACATGGGCTTGACGGCTGGAACACCAATGGAGGACATTCCTGTCGATAAGGTGTTTATTGGATCGTGCACCAACGCCCGAATTGAGGATCTGAGGGCCGCTGCCAACGTTGTAAAGGGGCGAAAGGTTGCTGATAACATCAGGCGCGCCATGGTTGTTCCTGGCTCCGGTCTTGTGAAGGCACAGGCTGAGGAGGAGGGCCTTGACCAGATCTTTGTTGATGCTGGTTTTGAGTGGAGAGAAGCTGGATGTAGTATGTGTCTGGGCATGAACCCTGACATTCTGGCCCCCAAGGAACGATGTGCCAGTACATCCAACCGAAACTTCGAGGGCCGGCAGGGTGCTCTTAGCCGAACGCACCTCATGTCTCCTGTCATGGCAGCTGCTGCCGCTATTGTTGGTAAGCTTGCCGATGTTCGCAAGCTATCACACTACACCCATCAATCTGCCTTTAAGCCCCGTGAGCTCCCTGCGGAGGAGCCCCATGTGGACGAGCGAACCAGGGATGACTCTGAGGAGCGAGAGATGATCGGAGATCAGCCTCAGGACTCTCAGCCTCACACCAACACTCTGGCCAGCGCTGGAGGTGCTGCTTCTGGTCTGCCTAAGTTTACTATCTGGAAGGGCACTGCGGCTCCTCTGGACCGATCCAATGTTGACACCGACGCCATCATTCCCAAGCAGTTCCTCAAGACAATCAAGCGAACAGGTCTTGGTACCGCACTATTTTACGAGCTCCGATACAAGGAGGATGGGTCTGAGAACCCCGACTTCGTCCTGAACCAAGAGCCTTTCCGACAGGCCAAGACTCTGGTTGTCACTGGACCCAACTTTGGATGCGGCAGTTCTCGAGAGCACGCCCCTTGGGCCCTTCTGGACTTTGGCATCAAGTGCATCATCGCTCCCTCCTTCGCTGATATCTTCTTCAACAACACTTTCAAGAACGGCATGCTCCCCATCAGGATCGAGGACAAGGACAACCTCGAAGCCATCGCCGCTGAGGCTCGTGCCAACCGCGACATTGAGATTGATCTGCCCAATCAGCTAATCAAGAACGCTGACGGAGAGACCATCTGCTCATTCGACGTTGAGGAGTTCCGCAAGCACTGCCTAGTCAATGGTCTCGACGACATTGGCCTGACCATGCAGCAGGAGGACAAGATTGCCGAGTTCGAGCGACGCATGACACAAAACACCCCATGGCTCGACGGCACAGGTTACCTGAAGCGTCCCGGACAGGGCGGCAAGCTTGCCGCTAAGGCCGTGCCTGTTCCCAAAACAAATCGGGGCGAGGAGAAGAAGGAGCCCCTCGAGTGGTGATTCGGACCAAGCGATGAGGGAATGAAGAAATGATTTAACGGCGAAGGGATCTGGGTTTCTGGCATATGATGATTAGCATCTGGCTTTTGTGGTTTCAAATATTTGCTTGGGTCGATGGACAAAAAGGATTGCTGGCTTTGCTGACACTGAATGCAAAAGCACAAAAGAATTGGAGTATATGTCAACTCGTAACTCCTGAGAAGATTTATGAATCAAAACGATCACAATTAATAGCAACGGATTGAGACGAAAGCTCTTTTATATGATGTAAAAACCGGTTCCTTCAAAAAACGATGATTTGGAACACTCGTGCTATCTGATTTAGAGTGTGCTACGAGGTCAAGAAAGCAATATTAGTCCCCCTTTTTGATCTCATCGCGAAGGATACCGACGTGCACCACGAAACCGGCCGAAGGTCGCAGTTCTGCGGGCAGTACACTATCAGAAGCTCTCCAGACATGAAATGAAGTTGAAAATGCCTTTAACCAAGACTCGAATACTTCGTCACTTCGAAGTTGTTGCCCAATGACACAGACACACGGCCGTCTTTCTTCATCATTAGCAAAGGCCTCATCAGAGAGTCTTAAACGGCATGCGTCCGCGCACGCCTGAACGAAGGGGTCTACCAAAGCATAGTTATAAACACAGTCACAGGCGACAACGGCGTCAAAGCTACGAGCTTCATCAGAACCGGTAAGAGACGGGGTTACCTCATCCGTCTCCCAATCAAGCGTTGTGAAGCGAATGTTCGGCTGTGCTGCACCATGCCCATGTCCATGGCCACTTCGTTTCTTCTTGCCTCGACCACTCGTCGGTGTAGACGTCCCCGAGCTAAACGCAGAAGAGAAGTTCTCGTCAAGATTGCGCTGAACAAGACGCTGCACGTAGGACTGATCGGTGAGGACATAGCGTGCTACGCGTGGACCAAGGGCTAGGGCACTCAGGGGGGAAATGCCACAGCCGAGTTCAAGTATGGAGGCGTTTGAATGGATGGTATTGGCGAGAATGGGATTTGACGGGGAAGAGAGCCACGAGGCGAAGCTGGGAGCTATCTTCCATAAGACTGTATCTCAAGTCAGCCTTTCCTCTTGAGTGACCATGAGAGGGAAAAATCTACCAGCTCCTGTTGTTCCACCTGCGCGTGACGATGACAGAACAGTAGGAGATTGATGAACAGTGTAGTCCCGATCAGCAACAGAAACATCGACGGAAGCAGCACGGGAGTCGATGAAGCCAAGATTCATGGAAGGGATAGGCTGTGAATACAGCATGAAAGTTTCTATGCATTTTTAGTGAGACCTGCATGAGTGGAAGCATCTTGTAAGCTGACCTTCTTCTGCGTCTTCGACTTCTGGCTCAAGATTTGCCAAGAGACTATTTACAAAGCCCATTGTGAGATATTATTTATTCTGATAAAGCGTGGTAGGGATTTTGCGTTATGCTAAATAGAGCATCTCGTTGAAAAGGGTTGGTCTAACATGGAGATACCGAGATAGTGTGAAAGCGATTGATGTAGCCGAGTACGGAGAGTTTAGTGTAAGTGGATCCCGCTTTACATCAAATATAGGTAAGTACACATATCAGGAACTGGAAAAAGAATCACCTAGACATGTCCCTGAATCCTATGGCATGATATGAAGTAATTAAGCTACCGGGAAAGACAAACAGTCATGACTACCACATGTTAAGCTGCAATCGATTCGTCAGAGACGAAATATATCAATATACCGGAAGCTCACAACAGAAATCGAGCCCTCACATCCCAGACAACGTCTGGGCCCAAACATGATAAGCTAACCAATACTCAAAATCTAAGCATGAGACCGTATAAAACCATGGAAAGAAAGAGCTTGGGGTCGCCATGGCGTCTAAGAAGTCAAATCTCAAAGCACTCTCATAAACGCAAACAAAACATTCACAATCAATGAAAATACAGAGCCTGGTATAAAAACAGCAAGGCGATTTATTCCGCAGTCAAAGATCCCTCGAGTCGCGTCCTTGTAAAGCAAGAGGCCGTGCGCTTGGGTCAGAGACAAACAGTGAAAGCAAAAAGATAAAAGCTCCTCACACTCCTGGCCAGTATGGCACCCATGGATCCTTCTTTTCACTTGTAGGTGTTTGTCTTTGATTTCATTTCCTTCCCTTTGTTCCTGGCTCGTGTTCCGTTCATGTCGTTGTTGGCGGGATCTCGTTACCCCTACACCAAACCGTCGTAAAGAGATAGCGCTGAGACGATAGTCTCGTCCCGTTTGCTACCCTCCTTGAACTCCTCCATATCTAAACTTCCATTCTCGTCCTTGTCCATCATGCGGAAGATCTTCCTCACTCGTTTTTCGGGGGTATCTTCGTCTTCGGGTAATTTAACCATAGAACCGACCTATTGATGTTTAGTAGGGGTTCATCCTTCCACTCGCATTCCCAGAGTCCTATGGGAACATGACGCTACAAAGCTGGGCGCGAAGTCGGTACTCACCATCTTGTAGATAGCTTCGACAATCTTGAGCATCTCGTCATAGCTAATCTTGCCATCGCCATCAATATCGTACAGCTGGAAGGCCCAATCCAGCTTGTCCTCCATCTTGCCTCGGCTAGTAACACTTAGCGCGCAGATGAATTCTTTAAAATCAATGGTGCCGGACTTGTCGCTATCGAAGACGTTGAATACATAATCGGCGAACGAGCTCGGATCTCCGAAGGGAAAGAATTGTCTGTAGATTTTCTGGAACTCCTCCTTGGTGAGCGTACCCGAGGGGCAGTCCTTGAGGAAACCTAGCTCTGATGTTAGACGCAATTCCAATCTTATGAAGCGGTGCAGACTCCTGATATATCTCGAGTGAGAGTCCGCGTCAGTGTCAGAGACTTACCCTTGTACCATTGCTGAAGCTCCTTCTTGTCGAAATGAGTCGACTTCTGCAACTCGACGAGCTGATCTTGGGAAAGCTTTGACTGTCTGCATAGGCACAGCGAGGTTAGTATCGTTGTGATGTGGTCGATCCCTAAGTATAATGACGTCGGTCCCTAGCTTCCGCGGGGATCCGAGGTTGACAAATGCGCTTGCGACTCGATGTGATTCCTGGCGCCAAGTGACGCAAAAGACACGGAGACACCGAGACGACAGGGCGAATAATACGGCAAAGCGACTGCCCAAAACAGCAGGAATATGTTGGAGATAAACTTACGATTTACCCATGACGCCTCGGACTTTACGATGTTATCAGCGGGGGGTATAGAGAGCGCGAATTGCGCAACGGTCGATCAAAGACTTGGACGTCTGGGGCTATCTTTTAACTCGAAGGAAATGAGGAGCTCTCGAATCAAGGCGTCGTAGTGAGGATGAGGATAAGGATAAGGACGGCTTCTTCTGAGAATCGTTTATCGGTAAGAAACGTGGTAGATGATGATATCGATGTCGATGTCGATAGCGGGAGGATTGCGGGTGGAATAAGTAGGTTACGTTGGGGCTGGAGAGAAGCGAAGCGCTCAGTGAGGGGAAAGCTATTAAGCTCTCAGGGTCGTGCGACAGTAATAGGCGAGGAGAAACGAGTCGCAGTCGTGAAGGGACACAAGAGAAGTAGTGGCTCAGGTAAAAGTCGGTTCAAGCAGAGCAATAAGAGAAGAGAGATGGAGATGGAGATGGAGATGGAATAACTACCTGCGTCGTAGGTAAGAAGTGGAGGCCGCTAGATACTGATGCAAGGTGTTAGGCCAAGCAAGCAAGGCAGGTAAGGAAGGAATATGATGAGGGTGAGGCGGGAGGCAGTCCAGTCCGACGGGGTTAAAGGCGATCCAACATGGCAACAACTCCGCTGGAATAAAGTCGCCTCCCAGCACACCCTTCAGGGCATCATAGGGGTCTCAGTGCAGTATCAGGCACTGGTAGTTAGGGGACGAGTTAGTGGGGGCGGGGTTTCTGGGTACCAGAACCCCGCTGTACTCCAAGTGGTCGGGTCCGTGATGCCATCCATCCAATTGGTAAGCGAAAGCGCGCTCTGAATGCAGTCTCGACCCATTGGAAATCTGGTTTTTCTTTCGCTTCTAATGACGAATCCGAGGCAGTCCGTGAATACGAGGATCCGAGATCTCCAGAACACCCTGCTTTGCCTATGCAATAGACTGAGCGACCACAGTATCACAATACTGACGCTGATACCGGTCCTCAAGGGACCTTGTCTACAAGACCAGCTGCCTCTTTGAGCCATCATATGTAGTCCCAGCAACGATCTACCAGAACCATCAAAGAGGCTGTGTCTTTTTCGATTTCTCGAAGCGTGGCGACCAGGTTATCCACGCATGCAACCAATAACCCAGCACAGGATTGTGGCTGTGCTGTCATACCTAGCCTGTTCTGGGTTATCATTCTGATCCGCATGGATTCTTTTGCCGTGATTGAGTTCGATTTTTGACCCCGACAGAGTCCGAGGATACAAGCCTCCGATCGAGTCACCCAGAACTAATATGTCTGTCTTGGTTCCAGAACGACTGGACCAGTGGTATGCTCGGAATTCTGAAAGGGCTCGTGACACTATCTTTAGCTACGGACTAATTGATACCCAAGCATCCCCGATTACATACGTGCAAAACGGACTATGAACAAACAGTTGTAATTCCACAATATGCAATTAGCGCTCATGTGTCACAACTCACAGGGGAAGAATCTGCGCCAAGTCGGCACCAAACCACTCTATCGTCAATAAGCTTTTGCTGCGCCCACCTCGACTAAATAAACGCTGCTTCACCTCACCTAGCTAGCTTCCAAGGAAAAGCTCAGGATGACATACAGCCCCTGCGAGTGATGCCTCAAGAGGCCTCACATATCAATTAACATCATTGGATCATCTCTGTCACAAGATCCAATTGTAGAGTGAAAACATATTTCAAGTGCTAAGTGCTCAATTTACTCCCAAGAGAAGTCTTGCTTAGAGGTATCGTAACCATAGTTCCACCCATGCATGCTCCCTGTCCCAAATCATGATGCCTCCTGACTCCTATCCCTCTGCCAGCTTGGAAGATATCCAATTCAAAAACTACTTTAATCATCCCGTCCGCTTGCATCTACTAGGACGACTCCACGTATACAATCATTAGATACTTAGCAACCATCAAACTAGGCCGTGCTATTCTGTTCTTCAGCCAACAACGACCTTCATGCTCAAGCTCTCGAGAAAACCACCAAGATCCTCCTTCTTCACCTCTACCACGCAATGCTCAAAACTGTCAATTCGAACCCGCGTGTTGGTTTCTGCCACTACCTCTTGAAACGCGATGCCAAACTTGTTGAGGCCGTAGCCTTTCTCATGCTCGACATCCTCGTCATCCGACGCGTCAGAGTCTGAGCTATCCGAGTCCTCTGATTCCGTTTCCAGTTCGTCGTCATCATCACCCGCGTCTTGTCGGGCTGCACGCTTATCCTCTCGTATCTTCTGCTTCGCTAGACGTGACTCTTCTTTCTTCTTGAGCTTTTCTTCTCTCTCAGCTTTGCGTTTCTTGGCGGCTTCTCTGTCAAGCAGTGTGGTATCCGGACCGCCACCGCCGCCAGTGCCTACGACGACATATACACCTCTTTTCTCGTTCAGGCTTGCGACGACAAGGGGTGTACCGCGACCACCATGTGATAGCTTGCCATGCGTTTCCCGCTCTTGTTCAGCAAGGGCTTCGCCTATCCAGAGTGATAATTTGGTCAGCGCTGCGGGATGGGTGAACAATGAAACGTCAGGGCCCTCCTTGACCACACACATGCGGAATGCACGAAGATGCTTGATTTGCTTTTTGTTGATAAGAGATGTTCCTGTCCGGTATATGGCACGGTGGAGGAACTGAGCAGTAGGAAGACCGGCCTTCAGCGCGTCGATACTATTGTCGAAGTCAGCGAGGAGAATAGGTCTTCAACGGATTGAACTTACTTTTCAAGCGCGTCATATGCCTCCCAGAACCGCTCAATCCATTCTTCGCCCTGAGCTGCAAACTCGGCCTCCTCTTCTGCGTCTCGGCCAGCTTGACTTGCTATTACGGCGGGGTCTGTATTCTGAACATGTTTTCCAACTTCTAGCAGCGCACCAATAACGACTCCAACATCCTGGGCACTCAGCGTTGCTCGCCATCCCCAACTTCGGACAAACCCCCACCCATCCTTCGCGCCAGCACGATCTTTACCATCCGTATCGACGGACGGTACCATCTCGTCAAGGTTGTAAAGTGAGCCGTATTTCAATAGCTTTGCCCTTAACTCACGTTTCAGCATCATGTCCATGTGAGTATAGCTCTGCTTGCACTGTGCCAGGCTGACCCCCATCTTTGCAAGTAACTTGTGAAGTCGCTTGATTCCTGCTTCGCTCCAAGTCTTGAGGCGAGAAAAGAGATATGGCGAGTGCAGCATACTGTCGTAGAGGCTCCAGTGTCTGATCAGCAAGAATCTGGGCTCAGGGGACAGCCGAATTCCTGTATCTTCAGGGTTCCTTGCTGTCGTAGGAATCACGCCTGCATTTTCTGCAGCAACACGTCCATTCGCAAGTTCCGGGGGGTTCAATCGCCTGACTTCATCGCGAAATTCTTGGCGTATTCTAGCACCTCGAGCGCCCAACCAACCTGTTGGGCGACTCTTGTCGCTCTGTCTGACAGGCGCAGCAATGCCTGCCGATGAGCGGCCATAGAGTTCCATAGATGTGACTCCAACTATAGATAACCATAGGAGGTCATTGTCTGCTCTGCCAAGATCAGAAGCAAGCGAATACATCATCGATGATAACGGTTCCGAGAAAGAAGATCCAACTTTGTAATATTGGTGGAGAATGGCCTCGTGCTTTTGTCGTAACCGCAGGAGCTGTCTCTTTTGTGCGCGAAGTGACGGCCCTGCAGGTAACTGTGCTCCGGAGGGAGGCTCGATAGCATCGCTTGACAGACCAGGATCAGGCTGCCGCATTGATATGAGCCCTCTTTGCTGTGGGCGCCGAGGTGATTCAGCGATAGAGCTAGACTGCACAGAAATGTCAGTAAGTCCAATTATAAGTAGTTCAAGCCGTCATACTGAGTTACTCCTTCGCCGTTGGTGGGGCCTATCATCGTCGCTTTCGTCCTCTGCATCTGACCAGCTTTTTCGCTTCTGACCTGCACGAACAAGCTCTGGGATGATATCGTTTGGATTTTCGTCGTCATCCTCATCGTCGGTGTCTCCCAAGTCCTCACCATCGTCGTCGATTTCGGGCATCTCCATCAATTCGAGATACGCATTGCGCTCAGTTTGCATATCGTCGACAATATCGCCGTCATCAAAGACAATAATACCACCCTTACCAGGTTTAAATGCTGATTCAATCATACCACCATTGACACCAGTAGGGCATCTCGACTGATAAGACGATGAGACCTCCGTTTCGGGGTCGAGGGGAAACCCGCCAAAAACGTTTCCAAGGTTCCAGGGTCGATGAGCGTCTATAACCCAGACCTCGACACCACTGTAAGGCTGATCGTCACCTTCGGGCTCAAGGCCAAGGAGTGGCCCCAGATCAACCATACCCCCAACACCAAGGCATACAACGACACCACCACTACCTCCCTGAGACTCCATCATGGGCACGACCAATTCTCGGCCAGCCTTCTCAAGATCTGTATAACCAGCAACAGGCTGTATTTTGTGGGGAATATAGTCATGTTTCAGTAGCCGGGTCAGGATCCTGCAAGCACAAAGAGCATCGGGTTCGAGAGCGACGAGAATAAGTACAGGTGGGGAGAGCGGGTGTCTTGTTTGCTGCAGGTGGACGTAGAGTTTAGAGATCAGTTGCCGCGGGAGATACATGTCGACGATAGTAAGGAAGCGGTTCGATCGCTAAGTCTATATGCCACAAGTTTCATGAGGGTGAGTGAGAGTTGTATAACGGCGATCGGTCTTGTATCATCAAGGGGGAGATCGGGACGCGACGATCGCGTAGAGTAGACGAGGAAAAGTCGAGAAGGGAAATAAACAATGATACAATGAGAGCCTGTAACATAAAATAAATAGGTGATCAATTATCGGAATGAGAAATGAAGATGCTCGAAGCGTAGAAGTACAGACGGCGTTATCGTCCGTTATGCTTGCTGATCAATATGGGAGTACGTCGTGCTACAGTGGCTCTTGGTTGCTCAGACGTTGAAAATCAATTTGGTCCGACGTGTTTTTGGCGACGCGACGCGCTTTCCCTGCGCCGACCGTGTAAATTGGCCAAGCCTAGCGGAATGGGAGTGGCTTGCAAGGACTGCCCCTCCTTCCATTTATAGATGACAAGGTCGTCCCAGGCCTACTCATTTGGATACCTTGGTTTGAATGGATAAGTAATCGAGAAAGAAAAGAATTCGGCTTTCTTTTTGAGCTGAGCTCGTACTTCTCAGCCAGTTTCTGTATCACGAACCTTCGCTTGGGCACGAATACAAATATGCATGAGAAACTCAAGTATTCTGCCGTGCTTGTTTATGTTATCCGTGCCTTCATCCTTGGGTAAGGTAGGCTGTTTAAGGCACTGGCAATGTATAAGGTCACCATAGTAGTGATCTGTAAGGGTATTGGTATCACTTCACTATCTCTCAAATTACTCATCTTCGATTCGTCTTCCAATTTTTGAGATCTCTCAAGATATTTAAACTTGTGCGAAACAGAAATGCCATCAAGCACCCCCTGGTCAAGTCAGTTCGGATATCTTGATGACTTATCCGAAGCTACTAGCTGGGGTTTCTTGCTCCTTCATAAGGCACAGCACTCAACTCTTCCCTATCTCTTTGAGCGGCACAAGGCCTCAAACATGTCACTAGCCCCACTTTACTGACTAATTTTGCAGGTACCTGCGGGCTACGTAAAGTTCCCGTCAGACAGCTTCTTCGATCAACACCACCAAAATCATCAAAATCCTCATACAAATTGACCCTAATAAGTCTCAAATAAAACGATGAGCTCTCAAAAGATACAAGATTACATAGATGATAACAGCTTTAATACCCCGCCTTCAAAGGCAGCAGCTAATGACCCCACCGGCGTGCCTAACCTTCCGCCCGAAGAGGGCCGCGGCGATGATTTTCAACCTTTCAACCTAGAATATCGTGATTTCAGGATCAACCCTCTGCCCAAGGAACCACTTGAATTATTCCAGCTTTTTATACCTATTTCCCTTGTACAGTCATGGATTGAATACACC